TAGCTTTTTTTTTTTTAAATCTCGGGGGGTGGGGCTCTACACTCAGGGATCATTCCTGGCAGTGCCCAGGAGACCATATTGGATGCCGGGGGTTGAACCTGGGTTGGCCCCTGTATAAGTGTGTAAGGCAGACGCCCTCCCCGCTGTCCTGTCGCTCTGGCCCCTTGCTCAGCATCATCTTCTGTGAGAAGAAAACTGCTCGGATCTAAACAGCTGCCCACAAATACCAGCTGCCCACAGATCCAGCTACCTCCCGGATTTGACCTTTCAAGGACTGAAACTTGAAATCTTAGAAGTGGGAAATTGCTTTTTTTTTTTTTTTAGGCAATACTCAGCAGAGCAGTCCTGTCCTCCAGATATGAGATCTGTGCTTGGGTCTCACAGTGTGTTTCTGGGCCCCCCCATCCCCAGGGTCCCTCCAGCAGTGCTCAGGGGCCATGTAGTGCTGGGAAATAAAACTTGGTACCTTGTACCCCTGTACTCCACTTCTTTCAAAATTTCCAAAGAAGAAATTTGCAAAAGCCTCCCAAGTGGTATTCAGAGGGCCCAGGACTACTTCAGGGAAACTTGGCCACCTGGGTAGGCAGTTCAGATCAAGAAAGAGCCTGAGTATACAGTGCCAGGGGCCACCAGGACCCCAAGCCTTATTATGCCAGGGACCCAACCCAGATGGCACGTACCCTAACCCCTGAACTATCTCCAAACTGGAAATTCCTTATTCGGATTCATCAGCTAGCAACTAGTAAATCATAAGACCATTCCGCAGACTAGAGCATGGTCTAAACTTGGTGAGAGTTCATTTTGGGGGGAGGGGCCAGAAGTATCATACACAGGCTAAGGCACTTGCTTTCCATGGCCCCATGGAAACCCAGATTCACATCTCCTGCACTGCAAAGGGTCTCCTGAGCATTGCCAGAGCTGAGCACAATGATGGGTGAAGCAAAACAAATGGTGGAAGCCGGTGCAATAGTACAGTGGGTAGGGTGCTTGCCTTGCACGTGGCTGACCCGGGTTCCATCCCCAGTACTCCATATGGTCCCCCAGTGAAGTAATTCCTGAGCACAGAGCCAGGAGTAAGCCCTGCGCACCACTGGGTAGGGTTACCTGCTATTCCTCTTCCTCTGAGTGGTTTTACTGAAACTTAGTTCAAAGTAGGAAAGGAGGTTCCTAGACTCTGCTGACCCAAGTAGACACTCACAAGTAAAGTCATTATTTTACTGCCATCTGCTGGAGTATCGCTGTAGTACATGTAGAGGTCTGGGTACAGTTGTGCCCTGTACTGTCAGTCTTGAGCACCCTGTTCCTAGGGCACCAGAGCTGGGAGGTGATGGACTTCTCCCCTTCTGATGTCTCACATCCAGATCTGATGCTGATTCTTTATGTGGGGGATGGTCACTGCCTCTTCAACTCTGAAGACTTGAAGTCTCAAGACTTCTCTGCACCGGCTCCCAGCTAAGTATCTGAGCTCTGATCCTGTCTGGCCCGAGAGTGAGCTGCTAGCCTCGGGAATGCAGTGGTAATAGGAGGGAGAGAAGGGATGGAGGTGGGAGGCAGCTGGTCATGGCTTCTGCATCCCCTAATAAATCTGCAGCCTGTTGCGTTTAGCTAGGGTTGTTTGCGGGTGTGATGGTTTGTGGTGGTGCCTGCTTGTTTGTGGCACCGCTGCTGTGTACAACCTGCCTCACCTTCTGACTCAGTCTTGGTTCCCTGGGATAACTCAGGCTGGTGCAGGGGCTGGAGCGATAGCACAGTAGGTAAGGCGTTTGCCTTGCACGCAGTCGACCCGGGTTCGATTTCCAGCATCCCATATGGTCCCCCGAGCACCACCAGTAGAAATTCCTGAGTGCATGAGCCAGGAGAAGCCCCTGAGAATCACTGGGTGTTACCCAAAAAGGAAAAAAAAACCCTCAGGCTGGTGCAAGTTGGGTTGTCACGCATTTTCCTCCACTCCCAGGTGCTGGGCCCTGCAGCAGTCTGAGATAGTGACAGTATGATCTTCTTGGACCATGCTCTGGCCATGACCTTCTGGGATTCCAAACTTCTAATGGGTCCTGACTGTTCAAACCACAACTTCTGGAATCCAGAACCTATGAGGGAGCATAAGGCTGAGGGGCTGCTAAGTGGTAGGTCTTCCCTTGGGGGAGTTTGGTGAGAGCTGAAAGTCACAGCCCCAAGGTCACCCCCAAGGTCAGTGGCAGCAACAGAGATGGGGCAGGGGGCGGTGGGCATGTTCTTTCTGGAAAGTCCCGGGCTTCCCACTGTCTTCCAGGGCCTTGGTTTTTAACTATGCTTTTTTTTTTGTAGAAGGATTCTGAAAGATAAGCAATAAAATGCACCTAAAATGCATCACTACCAGTGTCTCAAAAGTGGTCTCTTGAGCCCAGGTGCGTTTCCACTTAAGGGACAGCTCACTTGGTATAACATCATCTGTCACAAAGCTTCTGAACAACTCTACTTTCCCAAGAGAACAAGAGTAGAAAGGGCAAGAAAGAAATTTTAGTAGGGGCCAGAGAAATAGTACAGATGGTAAGGCATTGGCTTTGCATGCAGTCAAACCTTGTTCAGTCCCCACCAACTTATGGTCCTCTGTGTTCTGGCAGGAGTGAGCCCTGAATGCAGAGCCAAGAGTGAGCCCTGAGCACTGCCAGGTGTGGCCCCCCACCAAAAAAAAAAAAAAAACTTAGCAATATGAAACTAGAGTGACCTTACAGATCCTGGGGTCCCGGAACCATGTTAGAACTTTCCTGCTGTTCTCTTTCCCTGGCTACAATCCAGATCTTTTTTTTTTTGAGGGGTGCAGGGAGAGGTTTGGGGCGACATCCTGCAATGCTCAGGGAGTTATTCCTAGCTCTGCATTCAGGAATTACTCCTGGTGGTGCTTGGGGCCCATGTGGGATTCCAGGGATCGAACCCTGATCAGCCATGTGCAAGACAAGCAAGTGACTGACACGCTGTACTATTACTCCAGCCCTTACAATCCACATCTGGGTGGGCTGAGCAAAGCGGGCACCGAGCTGAGCTGGTGGGTGAGCATGCGCAGGGCAGGCTGCCCAGCATCTTTCCCATGTCCACTCTTTGTCAGGGGCTGCCCCACTCCCACACCAGGGCATTGGAAGACCAAACACATCTCCTGTGAAGTTAAAACAGCTAGCCTGAGAAAAAAGTGTTTTCCTGTTAGTTTGACCTTTCCAAAGTTAGCACAAAGAAATACTCCTCAATATCTCTTAATACTTATCTGAAAATTCTTTTAGAAAGATTTTTTGTGGGGGGGGAGGAGGTGTTGGAGAGAGTACAGCAGGGCAGAGCACTCATAATTAATCTTGAGTAATTCTTCAGCACAAAGCCAAGAGTAACTCCTGAGCATGGCAGGTGGGTTCCAAAAATAAAAACAAAAACCAAACCACAGTGCCTTGCACCTGGCTGATCTGAGTTTGATCCCAGACTCTTCAAATGGTCCCCTGAGTGTAGAGCCAGGAGTAAACCCTGTGCACCAATGGATATGGCCCCAAAAAATACACACACACACACAAAAGGTTTGTTTTTTTTACTCAAATGGAAATCAGATCAAGATAAAGACTCTAAAGGCTTTTTATACTCTTCTGGGTGAAAGCCAGAGTCTTCTCTGTGACTTCCAAAGCTCATGAAATTTGGGCTGTGGCTTTTGTCCAACTTTTGTTCAACTCCTGCTCCAGAGTGCTCAAAGGCACTCTGCTCTGCCCACAGTTCTTCCCCAGGGCCTTTGTATCTGCTGTTCCCGCTGCCTGAAATGGTCTCTCCACAACCGCAAGAGTCTTGGTTTGTTTCTTGTGTCCTCAGTTGCCAGGTACTCAGGAGACATTTACTGGATGAATGCAGGGATATGTGTGTGTGTGTGTGTGTGTGTGTGTGTGTGTGTGTAAGAATGGGAATACAAGTATCACCCAAATGAGAGCTTCTGGGAGAGGAGTGTGAGGTGCTTTCCTCTCCTTTTCTACCTATTTTCAGCAGTGATCCCTCAAACCTTGGGAGGTGGAGTCCGGTTCCTGAAAACAACCCCTACAGGCTTCTTGGTCATTGGAAGTTCACAGCAACGCTTTTGATCATATTTGTGGCAGTTTCTTCGATTTGGACTCCATCCTCAGGGCTATTTTGTGCATCAAAACTACTACTGTGGGGGCCAGAACAATGACACAAGTGGATCGGATTTTTGCCTTGCACTCAGCTCATCTGGGTTCAATCCCCAGCACCACTTGGGGTTCCCTGAGCACCGCCAGGAGTAATTCCTGAGCGCAGAGCCACGAATAACCTCTGAGCATGGCCAGGTGTGATGCAAAAATAAAACAAAACAAAACAAATGGGTGATGAGATGCCAGGGATGGAGCCCATCAGGATCTCACGCGAGGCACGCACTATGCCACTGAGCTACATCCTCCACCCCTAGACACTTTTGGAGAGAACGTAAGTTGAATGATGGAAGCAGATGGCTTATGAAAGAAATGAATCTACCACGGGATGGTACCGCAGAGACCATTTCCTACCCGCGGAGCCTATCTGGGAGAAACATGTGTGTCAGATCAAATTAAATGCGGCGTGGGTCCTCAACCAGTCTGCATCTCCCGCTTCAGGGAGCTGGAGGAAGAGCGTTAAACTCAGCAGCCCAGGATCCGCGTGCTCCGCGTCCCGCCGCCTCCCACGCTCCGAAGCCTGACTCCGCCCACAGACCCGCCCCTTTCGACATGGCCACGCCCCCATCCGGGAGCCAATCCCGGCAAATACACACAGTTCCGCCTTGCCCCGCCCTCCTACTCCGCCCCTTTGTTCATTGGCCCACAACGTACTGTCCCCGCCCCTTCCGGCTCTCGGGCCAATCCCCCGTGCGGTCCCGCCCACTTCCTTCCGTTCTGAAAGCGCGCGAATCGCGCCGGTTCCGGGGGCGCCGGAGCTGTAGTGGGTCCTTTACCGGGCTGTCGTCGCGGGGGTCTGGGGAGGTTTAATTTTATCCCGGTCTCCCGGAACCGGGGCCATGGCGGTCCCGGAGGCGGCGCCCGTGCCTTGGGCGCAGCTTGAGGCCCCTGCGCGCCTCTTGCTGCAGGCGCTGCAGGCGGGGCCCGACGGGGCGCGGCGCGGCCTTGGGGTGCTGCGGACGTGGGCCGCGCGCCGCGGGGACCCCTTCGACTGGGCCCATGTCCTCGAGGCGCTGTGCCGGGAGGAGCCGGTCGTGGAGGGGTCGGAAGGCCGCCTGCAGCTGTAAGTCGCTCCAGGCGGAGGTGGTCACTTGCCCCCCCCCCCCCCCCCAACACACACAGGCAGTAGATGAGGATTGAGGCTCCAGAGGTGCTTCGTGCCTAACTGCAGCGGACCAGGGAGGAGGGCCGTCCAGCAGCCTGGCCAGTACCGCAGAGCGGGACCGAGGATCCTCCCATCAGCCGCCGCAAGTCGCGTCTGATTACACCTCAAACCGAGCTCAGGACCTAGAGAAAAGTCGGAAGGGCGTTGACCTTGCACGCAACCTCACCCGGTTCCATCCCCAACATTGCATCTGGTCCCCTGAATACTGCCGGGTGTGGCTCCAAACCACCTCCCCGCCCCTCAAGAAAAGAAAAGAAACTTAATTCTCATATATGGTGTAGGTATATACTTAGGTAGAAGATGTGCATCTGGTAAATTATGAACATTACACAGTCTACAGAAAAAGAAATTTAAGTGGTAATGTCAGCATCTGCTCACTCAGCTGGTGACTTTCTGTGATCAGATTTTTATAGACAATAGATTTTTATAGATTTTTAAGGCAAGACTGCTCTCCTTAAGGATTAATTATTCCTAATCTGGGGCTGGAGGTTGGTGGTTCTGTTATTTTGGGGCATACCCTGCAACACTGGTTTCTGTGCTTGGTGAATCTCATACATTGTATGAACTCTGCCCTCTGTTCTGGGTTTGAGTTCTAGACTAGAATTGTCAGCCCTGCCCATTTCACTGTCACTGTCACTGTCCTCCCGTTGTTCATCGATTTGCTCGAGCAGGCCCAGTAACATCGTGAGACTTGTTACTGTGTTTGGCATATCGAATATGTCACAGGTAGCTTGCCAGGCTCCACCGTGCAGGCGAGATACTCTCGGTAGCTTGCCGGGCTCTCCGAGAGGGGCGGAGGAATCGAACCCGGGTTGGCCATGTTGGCTGCGTGCAAGGCAAACACCCTACCCGCTGTGCTATCGCTCCAGTTCCAGTGTTCATTATTAAAATTACAAATTAGATGTACTAGCTGGAGAAATAGTATAGCATGATAGGACTCTTGCCTTGCACGTTGCTGACTGGGTTCAGTTCCCAGCACTGCATATGGTCCCCTGAGCCCCGCCAGGAGTGATCTCTGGACTCAGAGCTAGGGATAAGGCCTGAGCATAGCTGGAAAGGATGGAAAGGGCCCCCAAACATACGCACACACATACATTATACATATGTGTATGTGCAGTATGCATAAATGCCTTAGGTAAGTATCCTGGCTGACCCACCTAGGAAGTGGGGGCCTTTGGGGTCCCTGAGAGCTGCCCTTTCCACTCTTCGCTTCCCCCGCAGAGTTAGGCTGGAGGCCGGAACACAGGCCAGTCCATATGGTAAACATTTGTGATGGATGCCTAGTTTCCTGTTTTCCATTAGGAGAAGTAGAAACCTATATCTTCTTCCCACACTCCCAATTTGAACTTCTTTCGACATGCTGAGTTCCCAAATCTGGGGGCTGGAGCACTTGATAGAACTGTTTGTCCAGCTGCGCTGCTTTTTCCGGCTGGACTATGGGAAGGGGCAGACTTAATGCAGGCTCCGGTGTAAAATTGGGCTTCCTTATAACTGTGTTCTTTTGTAGTCCTGTGTGTTTTATTGATTTGTTCTGGGCCATACCCAGCTGTGCTCAGGACTTACTCCTGGCTCTGTGCTCAGGACTCCTGGCAGTGCCGGGTATAGAACATGGGTCTACCCCATGCAAGGCAAGTGCCCACCAGCCCCCTATGTGTTCTATTTTACACTTTTTTTTTTTGCTTTTTGTATAACACGTGTCAGTTGTCAGTGCTCAGGGATTACTCCTGACTCTGCGTTCAGCAATCACTCCTGGTAGTGCTCAGGCTGGGACCCTACGGGATGCTGGGGATTGAACCCCAACTGGCTCCATACAAGGCAAGTGCCTTATTAGCTCTTTATTATATATTCTTACACTCTCATTCTGATAAGAGTCCGTGTGTGCACCAAAGGGGGAAAAACCTGTTAAAAGCTTTTGGAGTCTTCCCTGCCTCTCCGCTCCCAACTCTCTGCTGCCACAGATCGACCTTTTACCAAATTGTTTGTTTTCGGGGCTGCACCCGATGGTTCCAGGGATCACTCCTGGCAGGACTCTAGGACCATATGTGCTCCTGGGAATTAAACTGGGATCAGCCACATGCCAGGCCAGTGCCCTACCCTCTGTACTACCTCTCCAGCCCCCAAACTGACCTTTTTAAAAAAAATTTTACTCTAGATTTCTCTCATGCTCTGTATTCCACCAGAAATAAGAGTTAAATTGTTTTTTTCCTCTGACTTCCCCTGGCCTCTGTGTTTCACCGTCAGGTCCAGGAGGGAGAGGGTGATGAGTCCGGGTGGGGGCGGCCATGCCCGCAGGCCTCCCATCACAGCCTCACCAGCCTCACACATGCCACATCGCTCCCCCAGCTGCCCATGTGGATCTTGGTTCTTCCTTCCCACGGGTCATTCATTTGAGAAATCGGCACGCAGGGCTCAGCGGGAGGAAGAATGGCTGGTACTCAGCCAGAGACTGTGTCTCTCGTGTGCATAAGGCCCTAGTTATGTCCCCTGCGTTTGCTCCCCCTCAGAAAAATAACAGAAAGGACTCACTGCCTCCCAGAATCAATAAAATTTAAAAAAAAAAAAAACAGCAGATTGGTGAAAGGAGCATCAGAGCTGGGCAAATGGGTCACCGTGCCCAGGGGAGTACAGGCCCGTAGACTAAGATTTGCACAGCATCTTGGAGGGTTTTTTTGGCGGTGGGGGTTGGGCCACACCCCACAGTGCTCAGGGGCTACCCCTGGCTTTATGGCCCTGGAGGTGCTTGGTGAACCATCTGAAGTGCCAGGAATCAGTCGGGCCCACCACAGGCCTGGCAAACACCTTGCCTCTGGTACACGCTCTCTAGCCCTGGAGATATTGTTGGTACCCAAAGTTTGGAAAACATCAGATAAGCCTGTGACCAGAGCGATACAGGTGCGAAGGCATTTGCTTTGCCGGTGACCGATCTCCCAGCACCATCTGTGGTCCCCAAAGCACTGCCAGGAGGGACCCCTGAGCACTGCCAACTCAACCCTGAGTCCCCCATCCCCAAATTAAAATAATAGAACCAGGTATGAGTCTTTGCAGAGTGGGATGGGGGGGGGGGGGCGGTGGTGAGGATCTGAGCTGAAGGGTCTGGAGAGAGCAGACGCACAGTGGACTTGCTCATGGATTCCTGCTCAGCCTCCCCCAGGCCCCAGGTCAGGCGCCACCTGCCCTTGTGCCCTCGAAGGCCACTAACCAACCCCCAACCCCGCCCGCTGCCCAGGAAGCCGCTGCTGCTGCAGTTGCCCGGATTTTGCCGGAGAAACCTGCTGTGCCTGCTCATGGCTGTCCACCCTGTGCTGCCCCAGGGCCAGCTCCACTCGCTGCTGCAAGTCGCCCGGCAGGACACGAGCCCCGACGCCGCTGCTGACCTCTGGCTCCGGGCCCTCAGCGCATTGGTGCAAAGGGATCTGAGGGCTGCCTCCTCCTCCTCCCCGCCCACCGTGTCCCCGCTGTCTGCAGCGTGCCAGACCCAGCTGCGCAGCCTGTGTAGGCAGCTGGGGCAGGGGGGCAGGGGGCTGCGGGCGCTGCAGACCCCAGACCCAGAGGAGACGCAAGATGCCAGGCTGGACTCCCAGCGGCCGGCACGCAGGAAGGAGCCGGAGGACCCGGCCAGCCCTGGCGGAGAGAGGTCCCCCAAGAGGTTCCGAGGGTCGGAAAGTGTGGAGAGAGAAGTCGCCCCTGCAGAGCCGAATCCAGAACCTGGGCCATCAGACTCCCCGGCTGCCAGGAGCCAACCCGTTGGGGGGCCGGAGCCCGCCGAGGCTGGCCAGAAGCCACCGGACGCTGGGGGCCAGGCTGAGAGTGTGGCGTTGCCCAAAGCACTCCAGGTACAGGGGTGAGGAGGCCGAGGTTGGCCAGAGGGATCCTTCTGGAGGGAGAGTCTGGGTGAAAGCCAGTTGGGATGCTGTTTCCCAGCTTGGATGTCTGTCGTCCACGGAGGGGGGAAATAGGATTCATGAGGGACCAAGTCTGCAAGGGCTGGAAGTGGGGATCCCTGAGGCAGACGATTTTTCTTGGGGGTGGGGTGGGGGTTGGGTCACACCTGTCTGTCCTCAGGGATCATTCCTGGTGGGCTTGGGGGACCACTTGGCTGCCAAGTTGGCTGCATGCAAGGCCCAGTTCCCATTTGCTATACCATAGCTCCTGGCCTGCTAACAGCCTTTGTCTTTTTTTTTTTTTCCAGGGTCATATCCAGCAGTGCTCAGGGGTTACTCCTGACTTTGCACTCAGGAATTACTCCTGGCAGTGCTCAGGGGACCATAGGGGATGCCGGGGATCAAACCTGGGTCGGCCGCGTGCAAGGCAAATGCCCCACCTGCTGTGCTATCGCTCCGGCTCCAGCCTTTGTCTTTTGGGAGCTCCACACTCCACAGTGCTCGGGACTTACTCCTGACTCTGTGCTCAGGGGTCATCCTGGCAGGCCCAGGGGGCCATATGGAGGGATTGCACTGCGATGCAAGGCCAGAGCCTTACCCACGGTCCTATCTCCGGCCCCTGTGGCTAATGATCTTTAAGGGGAACAGGTGCCAGAGGGGAGACTCGGGCACCTCTGCCCCTCCCCACCCCTCGGAGCTCTGCAGGGTGGGTTCCTGTGGGACAGCTTCATTTCTTTCTGTCCTTTGTGGGCTCTGTACTTTGTGGGCCCAGAGTGCAGGGTCCAGCTTACGTGCACACGCAGGCCAAGGGCTGTGTCCAGCCCCAGCCTGAGTCTGAGTTTTCCCCCCCATCCTTTCTTCTTTAGGCCACGCTTGGCAGTGCTCAGGGGCTACTCCCCAATCTGTGTTCAGGGGTCACTCCTGGCAGTGACCTGGACCTCCTCCCTGCAAAGCCTATGTCCAGCCTGCTGAGCCGCCGCTGTGGCCCCAGCCTGAGTCCCCTCCCCCTGCTCAGGGCTTCAGAGCTCGCCCCTGGCCACCATGCTCAGGGCACCAGGTCTGGTGTGGGGGACTGGGTCAGGGTTCTTCCACCAGGACGGATTGATTCTCTCCAGCTCCGTAGTTTGAATTCTTTTTTTTTTTTCCTTTTTGGGTCACACCTGGTGATGCTCAGGGGTTACTCCTGGTTCTGCACTCAGGAATCACTCCTGGTGGTGCTTGGGGGACCATGTGGGATGCTGGGAATCGAACCCAGGTCAGCTGTGTGCAAGACAAATGCCTTACCCACAGTGCTATCGCTCCAGCCTCATGGTTTGGGCTTTTGGGCCACACCCAGCAGTGCTCTGGGGTTACTCCTGGCTCTGCACTCGGGAATCACTTGCTGGCAGTGTTTGGGGGATTGCAGGTGGGTTGACTGCGTGCAGGGTGAGTCCCTGGCCGCTGTGCTAGCACCCTAGTGTGGGGCTTTGTGATCACGGCTTGCTTGCGCCATCTGACCTGGGCCTTCTCAGAGGAGGGACCCAGGCCGGGCTCGGCGGTGACGGGCTTCTCCTTGGCAGGACCAGGTCCCCAGGCTGCAGCAGCTGCTGAAGACCTTCCAGGAGGTGAGGTGTCCCCTGCGGCTACAGAGTCCTTCTCCCCTCTGGCCACCTGCCCCTCCACCGCCACCATATCAGGAAAGCCCCAAGCAGGGAGGCGGACTGCCTGGGCACACGGGATGGGAGTGGAGGGACCCCAGACCCACGAGGGGGGCTGGGCGGGGAGTTCTTTCGTTAGTCCTGGCACTCCTGCTGGCTACTCCCGCCTGTTCCTCTCGGGTGGCGTCCTCACCTCCTCTTGGTAGCGCCCTCATGTCCTCTCAGATGGTGCCCTCAACCTCCCCGCCTCCCGTGACCCTCGGTCCTAGAGGCTTTCTCCGGGACTCCTCACTGAAGCTCAGCCCTAAGGTGGGGTTCGCCTTTCCAGGGGCTGGAGGGCGCCCCCCCAGAGGCGCTGCAGCTTCTGCATGAGTGCGGCCCTGCCCAGGTGAGTCCTACTGGGACGGGAGGCGCGCGGGAGGCGCGGGAGGCACTGCTGGACCCAGCTGGTCCCTGCGGAGTGACCTGGGGAGTAATGTGGCGGGAAGTGGCTTTCTCTGCGCCTCCCGGCTTCCTCCCCAGGGGTGGCTCTCCCAATTGCCCACGGGTGCCCTGGTGGGTTCCTGTTGCTGCCCATGCTGAGCGCCCGTTCATGGGGGCAGGTGTCCCTGCTGTGTGCGCAGCTCGGGGTCGCTCAGCTGCCGGACACCGAACTCCTGCGGCTCTGCACCTGGCTGCTGGCCCTGTCCCCAGGCCTGAGCCTCAGCAACGCCACCGTGCTGACCAGGAGCCTCTTTCTGGACCGGGTAAGGGGGCCGGGGAGGCACGGGGTATACCAGGGACACAGTGGGGGGCTTGGGGCCTTCCAGGGGGGTAGAGGGGCTGCCAACCTTGCAGGTATCCACTTCTTCAGGCGCCGGGACCCGCAAGGGCGCAGCACTCTGCTGTTTCCCACAGGCCTGTGATGCCTTCCACGGGGCCTCGAACCCTTCTAGAAGCTGATCAAGGGACCCCAAGGCCCTCAGGAGCTGCGGAGGAGAGCTCAGTCCTCCTTTTCCCCACTTTGCATCCCTCCCCTCTAAATCGACATCTGCTAAGCACATGTCAAAGGGGAAGATACCTGGGGTGGGGTGGGGGGCACACAGAGATGGTCTGGGGTTAAGGCACTTGCCCTGCCTCTGTTTCCATCTCTGGCACTACCGTTCATCCCCTGAGCACCGCCAGGAGTAAGCCCTGAGCACAGAGCCTGGAGTAATCCCTAAGCACCAGCAGGGGTGGCTTAACCTCAACCCAGAGTGGAGGTTCAGATGAATGAATGAATGAATGAATGAATGCTTCTTCCCCTTGCCTCTAGATTCTTTCCCTCACGTCCTCAGCTTCTCGCCTGCTCACAACGGCCCTGACCTCCTTCTGTGCCAAGTACCCCCACTCTGTCTGCAGAACCCTTCTCGGCCCTGTGCTCCAGGCCTCAGGACCTGGTAATTCTGGGACCTAGCCAGGCCCCTACCCCCCACCCCGTTCCCTGCCCCTGTGAGTAAAGTCACAGAAGTGGAAACCGAGTACTGGGGCCCAGACAGTGCTTGTGAGGAAAGCGCTAGGTCTTGGGTTCAAACCCCGGTGCCTCCTACTACTACTCTGAGCTATCCAGCTAAAGTTCTTAGGAGTCCCGGCGAGAAAGGGCATGGAATATCTGGAATATGGCCCAGTGGCTTCAAAATACCAGGACGGGCGAGCAGGCCTGAGCTGTAGCCCCGAGGCCAGACACACATACACACACACACACACACACACACACACACACACACACTGAGGTGATCCTAATAACCCCCCCACACACACACCGAGGTGATCCTGATAACCCCCCCACACACACACACACATGCGCGCGCGCTGAGGTGATCCTGATAACCCACATACCCGCACACACATGCTGAAGTGATCCTGATAATCCATACACACATATGCACACACGTACACACATGCACACACTGAGGTGATCCTGATAATAAGCACGCACGCACGCACACACGCACTGAGGTGATCCCGATCACACACACGCACACACACGCATGCACACTGAAGTGACCCTGATAACCCGGACCCACGCACACACGCACGCGCGTGCTGAGGTGATCCTGATAACCCACAGTCTGGTCCCTGGCAAGGGAGAGGGGAAAAGCAAGAAGAAAAGTCCCATTGGTTCTCTGACAGAACCCCCCTTCCTCTAAGAGTGGGCGTCATTCCCTCGTCCCCCCCCCCCCTCCTGGGACGCACCCTCAGACTTCTCTCTGTTCTCTCCCACTCACGCTCAGTGCAGACGGAGCTGCTGTGCTGCCTGATGAAGGACCCGGCGCTGGAGCCCGACGCGCAGCTGCTGCTGCTGGAGTGAGTGTCCATCCCTGCATGTTGCCGGCGATGTCTGAAAGATGCTCGGGCACCGCTGCCATGCCATCTCCGTTGCCAGGCCTGGGTACCCCCGAGTTCCCTTCCCGCACCCAGGGCTTAACGGGGCCCCGAGTTCCGCCTGCCTGTGTGGGGGAGTGCGCCAGGCACCTCAGGAGGCCGCTGGTCTCCACACTCGAGTCTTTAATGGTGTGGCACGGTGGGTGAGGACACAGATGCAGTGTCAGACCTCAGCCTTGCCTTAGAAAGTTTTAGGCTGGAACACAGCGGGTAGGGCATTTGTCTTGTATGTGACCGACCCGGGGTTCGATTCCCAGCATCCCATATGGTCCTCTGAGCACCGCCAGGAGTAATTCCTGAGTGCATGAGCCAGGAGTAACCCCTCTGCATTGCCGGGTGTGACCCAAAAAGCAAAAAAAAAAAAGGAAAAAAAAAAGAAAGTTCTAATAGGTCATTACATTTCTGAGTTCACTTCCTCATGTAAAAAAGTAGAGATGAGGGCTAGAGTTATAGTAAAGCTCCCCCCCCCAAAAAAAAGAAAGTGGAGATGAAGGACCAGAGAGATAGTACAGCGGGTAGGGCGTTTGCCTTGCATGCGGCCAACCCAGGTTCAATCCCCAGCATCCCACCTGGTCCCCTGAGCACCACCAGGAGTGATTCCTGAGTGCAGAGCCAGGAGTAACCCCTGAGCATTGCCAGGTGTGTCCCACACCCCCCCCAAAAAAAAAAAAGAAAAGAAAATATGGAGACTCTATTCACTCTAGGATTTTCCCAGTTTTACGCCTGATAGTGCGTTTTCATTACAGACAGTCATGTTGGTTGGCCTCTCTGGGGTGTTCTGTTTCACTTTGTTTTGGTTTGAGGCCACACTTGGCAGCACTCGGGCTTGCTCCTGGCCCTGCATCCAGGAATCACTCCTGGTGGGCTCAGGACCGTACTGAGCACTGGGGACAGAACCCAGGCCGCCCGGGTCACTATCGCTCTGGCCCCTCCCAGGCCTGCTCTATCCCTGAGGAGCTTTCAGGGAGCCTTCACGCTTCTCCCATGGGTCCCTCCTGGCCAGCGGCAGGCAGGCTGGGCCAGGCCTCCCAACAGGGAGCCAGCAAGGAGCAGAGCCGGGCAGCATCCCCTGGTCACTGTCTCCGCCTTGGGTGGACGCAGGAGCAGGGCCCCCCAGGTCGGGGTGAGAGGTGGGACTTTTCTTCTATTTCTTTTCTTTTTTTTTTTTTTTTAATAATGTAGGAGTACTGCTATTTGTTCAGCCACTGATTAAGCTGATAGAATTGGGCATGAACTCCACATGACTTTTTTATTTTGTTGTATCACCGTGAGATAGAGTTACAAAGCTTTCATGTTGGAGTTTCAATGATGAAACACCCATCCCTCCACCATTGCACATTTTTCATCACCAGTGTTCCAAGTATCAACCCTCCACCCTCCCCCATACATACACATCGCAATCCTCACCCTGCCTCTGTGGCAGACAATTTCCCCAATACTCTCTAATTTGGGGCATTAATTTTGCTCTAATTTTCCCACCACCATTCAAGCCTACCTGCCAGGGGCAGACACTAGATAATATATTTTCTGTAGCTCACTTCGAATATCACAAGAGCTCACACGGGCGTGATTGTGAATGTAAATTTCTAGATTGTAAATGGTTGGGTTCCAGAGACATCTCTGTATGGCACTAATCTATTTCCGGGATTCAATTGGGAGCCTCTGGGCCAGGGCTGTTGGTGCGCTAAGATAGCATCCGGAGGCAAATTGTGGGCATGACAGCCAGTCTTCTGGGCAGGTGGTGACCCAGGGAGGGACAGGTCAGGTCCTCTGCCACCATGTGGCCTGGAGATTTAGTACTGAACTCGCATACCTAGGCCTTGCTTTGAAAGCTCTTGGTCACTGGGATTCCATCTGGAGTAGGTGGGGAGACTGCACCTGCTCCATCTGGGGTGCCGAGATGGGACTTTTCTTACGGGCCTGTGCTTTGCAGCCCGATCCTGGAGCAGCCCTGGCAGGAGGGGACTTTCCTGGTGCTGCAGGCGCTCCTGGAGCGGCAGGTGAGTGGGCTGGGGGTGGGAAGGGCACTGGGCAGGCCCCTGGGGACAAGGGTGGGAGCAGTGCCGGCTGCCGGCTGTGGCAGACAATTTCCCCAATACTCTCTAATTTGGGGCATTAATTTTGCTCGAATTTTCCCACCACCATTCAAGCCTGCCTGCCAGGGGCAGACACTAGATAATATATTTTCCGTAGCTCATTTCAAATATCACGAGAGAGGTAGAGCCCAGGGCCACCCTTGCCAGCTGTGAGGCCATGTGCGGGAACGCTCCAGAAGGCGTCATTTCATCCTATTCGGAGGTACCTAAAAGGTTCCTGCATTTTCACGCTTGCAAGGCAGAAGGGAAAAAGACTGTATTCCAGGGCTGGAGTGATAGCACAGCAGGGAGGGCATTTGCCTTGCATGCGGCCAACTCAGTTCGATTCCCAGCATCCCATAGGGTCCCCCGATGTCCTTGTGGAGGCCCTCCTAGAGATGCTCTGACACGGGGGTCAGTGCCCCTTTCCAGGCCCAGGGAAGTGAGCGGAAGGGCCGAGATGGCTCAACGGGCTCAATCCCTGGCTCTGCGTGGTCCCCCCGGCACCTCCAGGTGCATCCCCCCCAAATCAGTGTGCTTTCTCCTCGATTAGTTTTTTTGTTGTTGTGTGCGTGGAGTGGGGGGCCTCACTCATGTGACACATGTCCTGTCAAGTCACATCTCTGACTTGTTCTGGCAGTTTCCACTCTCGGGACCTTAAGTTCTGCTACATTGACCTCCTCATGCCTTACTCAAGGCCCCTCATCTGCAATGGGGGCATTTGTAGCAGACAGGAGACACAGTGACTCGGGTCCCCGCGCCCGGTGAATGATGTGGAAACATTTCTTAGGTGCTGGGGGTGGGGGGGGGGAGTATGGCTACTGTGCTTGGAGCGTGGGGCCCTGCACCAGGGGTCAGGGCGGCCTCCTGAGCCCTCATCGGCCCTTCCGGCGCTGTTATGAAGGGTGGCTATCCCTGGGCCATGCGACTTTTTTATTTTCTTTTTGGGTCACACCCGGCGATGCACAGGGGTTACTCCTGGCTCTGCACTCAGGAATTACTCCTGGCGATGCTCGGGGAACCAGATGGGATATTGGGAATCGAACCCAGGTTGAATGTGTGCAAGGCAAACGCCCTACCCACGGTGCTATGGCTCCAGCCCCCATGCGACTTTTGAGATCTTTTCCCCCTTGTGTGTCTTGCCACCGTGCCAACTGGGCGGGGATTGTTGGCCTCCCGCGAGTCCGGCTCTGAACCTTTGCAGTGTTTGGGGCTCCATTCAGGCTTTTTGTCCCTCACCTCGGGATCATGCTCAGGAGTTCCAGGCCTCCCCCCGGGGACTCCTGGCCAGCTTGGTGAGGTCCCTCACAAGGACCCAAGGAGACAGAGCTGCTCGCTCGGCGGTGCCGGAGCCTCCAGGGCCACAGCTGGTGGCACTTGGGACGCTGTGTAGGGCTGGCACCCGGACCCGGGCCAGCCTGCTACCCTTTTTCCCCGCCTGGCATTGAATTCTCTGGGGCTTTGGGATTAGAGGTCACGAGGCCCCTTTTATAGACAGGGCACCCGAGGTGCCCCTCCGGTCCCAAGCTGGTGGCGTCAGGAATGGAGTCCGGGGTGGGGTAAGGGCAGAGGGGCCTGCAGAGGACCACAGGCCCTTCCTGGGTTACCACTCATCTTCCAATGTGCGCAGGTGGAGATGACCGCTGAGAAGTTCAGTGTCTTGATGGAGAGGCTCTGTAAAGAGGGCCCGGCGGCCGCTGCGTCCTTAGCTTATGCAAAGCTCCTGCTCATGGTGATGACCAAGTACCAGGCGAGCGTGAGTATGGGGGAGACCATGACAGCTGCGTCGGCTTCTGTGCCTGGGTCCCGGGGCTGTGGAGGAGCCCGTCAGCAGGTGCTGTAGGAGTCGCTGGGGGTGCCTGACTCGGAGCTCGCCCTTGGCATGTAGCTCGTGAGAGGAGACAGATGATTAAGCAGATCAGGGCCGTAGCGTTGTGCAGTGGGGAGGGTGTTTAACTTGCACCTGGGTTCGGTCCCCACGTACCACCAGGATGCATTCCTGGGAACAGCCAGGAGTAACCTCTGAGCATTGCTGGCTGTGTCTGCTCCCCCACCCCAAAGATGTTAAACAGATCCTTGTGACATCCTCAGTGGCCAAGGATAGGGGTACTGGGGGCTTTGGGTGGTGGAGAAAGTGGGCAGCTGCCCCTCCCTTGCAGCTGGAAATTGTTTTTTGTTGTTGTTGTTTTATTGTTTTGGGTTTGTGGGTTTTTTTGTTTGTTTTTTGCTTTTTGGGTCACACCCGGCGATGCTCAGGGGTTACTCCTGGCTCTGCACTCAGGAATTATTCCTGGTGGTGCTCAGGGGATCATATGGGATGATGGGAATCAAACCCGGGTTGGCCGCATGCAAGGCAAACGCCCTACCCGCTGTGCTATCACTCCAGCCCCTGTTTTGCTTTGTTTTGGGGTGCTTTTGATTTTGGCTTTTTAGGCCATACCTGGCAGTGCTCAGGGTTTATTTCTGACTCTGCACCCAGGTATTAACTCCTGACGGTCCTCAGGGGACCATAAGGGAGGTTGGAGATCAAACCTGGGTCAGCCGCCTGCAAGGCAAACACCCGACCCACTCTACTATTTCTCCATCCCTGGAATTGGTTTTAATTTGGGGCCAGGTGTATATACCCTGCGGTGCTCAGGGCTTACTCCTGACTCTGCACTCGGGGATCATTCCTGGTAGCGCTGGAGGATCATATAGGATGCTGAGGATCAAGTCTGGGTCAGCCCCGTGCAAGGCAAGCGCCCCCCGTCCCCCCCGCCACACGCGCTGTACTGAGTTTCTCTGGCCCTGCAGTTGAGAATTGGGAAGGGCTGAAAAAGGGGGAGGGAGACCCCCTGGCACGGGCAGTGGATGCCGTGGATGCACAGAGTCTCTGGGTTCTCCACTGGGCTTAAACAGGGGCGTGCACGGAGCGGGGTTTGGTGGGGGACAAGGTCAGAGAGCTAACGTGTGGGGCTCCGGCTTGCCTCCTCTGCACCCCTGACGGACCCCTGCCCTGCTTTGCTCCACGCCTCTGAGATCCTGTTGCCGGCTCCCTTCTCTGCAGCGGGAAATTGAGACTCAGAGAAGTTAATTTGCCTGCAAGTCACGAGACACCACTGGAGGCAGTATCTTGTGTTTGTCGGTTGGCCGGCACAGCTGTACTCAGGGCTCATTCCCTGCAGCACTGGGGATGCAGGGCCCTCCTGTGCAAACCCACATTGCAGCCCTCTGAGCCATCTTCCCAGGCCCCCTTGGCAGTTTCTTAAAAAAACATGGGGGCGTTGGGACAGGGCGAGTACAGGTGGGGGCTGCCTTGCATGTGGCTGACCAGGTTTGATCCCCGGCACCCCATGTGGTTCCTCAAGCCTACCAGGAGTGATTCCTGAACACAGAGCCAGGAGTAAGCTCTGAGCATTGCTGGGTGTGGCCCCCAAAATTTGTGTTGGGGGCAAGGATATCGGGAAAGGTAGTGTAGTACTTGGGCTGCTCACTCTGTGTCAGAGGGTCACTCCTGGCTGGTTTGGGGATCTCAGTCCTTGGGATTGAGCCAAGCATCTTATTGCCTGTACAATCTTCCTGCCTCCCCTTTGCTCTTTCTTTTTTTCACTCTGCAGTGTCCCTGAACCAAACTCTGGGCCCTATGAATTCTCTCCCCAATCTCCGGGATTGATAAACGGTGTTTGGACTACACCCAGTGATACTCAGGGGCTACTCCTGGATCTCTGCCCAGGGGTCACTCCTGGCGGTGCTCAGAGGACCCCCTATGGTGCTGGGGACCAAGCCAGGGTTTACCTCATGCAGTGCGAGCGCTTTTACCCTGGACTGTCTCTCTCTGGCCCAGGACCATTGATTTTTACCATTTCCTCTGATTTGCTGCAAGTCAGGGATCCGGGGCAGGCGTGTAGCTCAGTGCACGCCTTGCATGTAAGAGGCCTTGGGTTTGCCCCTGGAAAAACAGGAAAAACAGGAAAACAAATATGCGGATGACAGCTTGGGATTCTCCCAGAAACAATGGGACTAGGAACAGATGCCCCTTCTCAGGGAGCTCCTGAGTGCTCTAGAGACCCCGGAAGCTCTCCGGAGATCTGGCCCTGTCTGCAGTTTATAAAGGAGCCTTGGACCGCTAAGGAAAGGGAACTGGCGAGTGAGGTGAAGATACACCGTCAGGAGGGGGCAGCAGCAAAGGGAAAGTGCTCAAGGCCAGAGAATACAGGGGCTAAGGCGCTGCACTTAGCTGGCCTGGGTTCAATCCCCAACACCCCATATTGTCCCCTGAGCCCTGCCTGGGGTGATCCCAGAGCACTGCCTGGTGTGGCCCAAATACCATAATAATAATAATAATAATAATAATAATAATAAAAGTCCCAGATTTCTTAAACCAACCAACCAAACAAACAAACAGGAAGCTGGTGGCTGCAATAGTATCGCTGTTCCTCAGTTTTCTCCCCTGTGAAATGGGAGGGTTGTAAGGATGAAGCCACATAGCAGGCAGACAAAAATTGTCCCCTGTTGGTTAACAGGAATAGGCCAGAGTGATAGCATAGCAGGTAGGGCGTTTGCCTTGCACATGCCTGACCCAGGTTCAACCCCATATGGTCCCCTGAGCCCACTAGGAGTGAGTGATTCCTGAGGGCAGAGTCAAGAGTAAACCCTGAGCACTGCCAGGGGTGACTCAAAAACCGAAATAAACAGAAGGGATCAGGTGCAGAGAACTGACTCATTCTTCTTGACCCCAGATCACCAAGATGCAGAGGCTGGGCCTGGCCACAGCCCTTGAGTCCCACACCACTTTCCTGAGGAAGTCCCTGCAGGCTGCCCTCAGGCGTCTGCCTCCCTGACCCTTCTGCCACCAGCTTCCTGAAGGATACTTGACACTTGGCCATCACCGCCTGGGCTGGGTGAACCCGGAGACTGGCCGGCCTTCTCCAGGACCCTCGTCCGGGGAGGGCCTGCAGCTGAAGCTGCCGGATTTCTAGAACCTCTCATCTGGGCTCCTTCCTAGTCACAAGCCAGAAGACCCTGTTCATGAATGACGCTGGCGGGGGCGGGATCTTTGGAATCCCCCGTACTCTGCGTTTTCAACTTCATACCTGAATCACTGGTCAACAGTATGGAATAAAAAGAAAGTTCAGTGAAGTTTCATTGGAAACTGCCTGCCTGCCTGTTGTTACATTGAGTGTATGTGGAAAATGAGCCTCTCACCCTCCTCATAGTCATACACACATACTCACACTGCTACACACATGTGCATGCTCCCACAAGTCCCTACACACACATACATACTCCCCCCCCACCATCCCTACACACACACACACACCCACACACACACGTACCCCACACCCTCCCTGCCGTCCTTTCCCCGCCAGCTAGCTGCTCTGTGAGAGAAAGGTGGTGTGTACGCTCAATCCATGGATGAGAGAATGTTGGAGCCCCCCCACCCTCACCCCCACTGTCCTACTCAGTACCTCAGGCCAGTGTGATCCCAAGGAGGGCAAACAGTACGGAGCTGGGAGGACTCTCGGACAGGCTTGGGAGGAGGGACCTAGGCCCTGGGGTTACAGGGAGATGAGAGGGGCAGGTGCCGGGCAGAGGAGCCGGCCAAGAGTTTGGGCTTGGGAGCCACTTAGCCGGCTGCTTAGCCGGCTTACTCGGGACACCCCAGGTAGACACTTGTTCGTAGTAAACACCAGCAGCTAGATGGAACTTTGTTTTGGGGGGGCCACATCCAGAGATGCTCAGGGTTGCTCGCAGTGGAACTTGGGGGACCATTAGTGGGGCCTGGAATGGGACCCCGGCCTCGGTATGCAGAGGAGATGTCATTGAACCGTTAGTGAATCAGCAGTCGGGTTCAAGTTTGTCCAAGAGGCCCCGGGGTGTAGCTTCATGATGTCATTTTGCCTTGCATGCGGGGGTCCCTGAGTTCGGTTCCCAGCACCTGCAGGATCCCTCGAGCACTATAAAGTGTGGCTCCACGTTCTATCCCCGCCTCCAAAAAGGTACATTCAAGTACTTTTTCAGCTTCCCCTCTGCGGGGCCCCTTTCAGCTTCCTCCCACCTCCCCCCAGCCCTGCAAATCCCGCCCCCGTGCTACCCATCCCTGGGATCCTCCCCGCGCACGGTCAGCTGTGCAGCGCTCTCTAGCGGCCGCACGCGCGCCAGCGCTCCTCCCGCGAAGCTCCCGGAAGGCGGTAACTCTCGCGAGAAGAGAGCCCCTATTTGAGCGCATGCGCCCTGCGCCGCCCTCCCTCTCGCTCTCTTCCGGCTCCCGCGGCCGCCGTCACCATGAGGTACGTGGCGCCCAGGGCGCGCGATCTGCGTTCATCCTCCCTTGCCGGGCGCTGTCGGGGGTCGCAGCCCCTTCGACTGCAATCGGGGGCGGCTCCTCCGCCGGCGCGGCGGGACATTGCCGGCCGCCGCGGCCCCGGAGCCGCCCGGGCGAGCGCGCGATGGCCCGGAGGGATGCGCGGAGGCCCCGCGGGCGGCCGCAGAGGGTCCTGAGCGCCCCCCATCCCACTTCTCTCCCTGCAGCAGCAAAGTGTCCCGCGACACCCTGTACGAGGCGGTGCGGGAGGTCCTGCACGGGAACCAGCGCAAACGCCGCAAGTACGCGCGCGGGCCGGGGTCGGGTAGGGCGAGCGTGGGCGGGGGGCGGGGGGCGGCCCGGCCTCAGCCCTAACCCCTCGCCGCCGGCCCCTTGCAGGTTCCTGGAGACGGTGGAGCTGCAGATCAGCCTCAAGAACTATGACCCGCAGAAGGACAAGCGCTTCTCGGGCACCGTCAGGTTGGCACCGCTCTGACCCCACCCAGCCCTCGGTGCCCCCCTGCGCCCGCCGCCCCTTGGAGGCCGAGGCCCGGGCGGCATCGACGTGCGCGGGTAGTTCAGACCCTCCGCTGCTCCGGGCAGGCGAGGCTGGACGGACCCCCACCCTGGGTCTTAAAACAAGAGGGGAGGCGTGGGGAGGCTTCGGCCGAGCCCGCCGGCTAGTTTGAGAAGCCAGACTAGCTGTTGGTGACGGCCGCGGCGCTGGGTAAGGCTCGGTGGCATCCCTCCCCGGCCCCCCAGGCTGGCACTGCTGCTGCTGCTCATGCAGTTGGCACTTGGAGCCCAGAGTGACGCCTCTGCTGTGTCCCCCTTCCCCCCTCCACCGTAGGCTCAAGTCCACCCCTCGCCCCAAGTTTTCCGTGTGCGTGCTGGGGGACCAGCAGCACTGCGATGAGGCCAAGGCCGTGGACATCCCCCACATGGACATCGAGGCGCTGAAGAAACTCAACAAGAACAAGAAGCTGGTGAAGAAGCTGGGTGAGTGCCCGAGAGCCGGGGCCTAGCTGCTGGGGGCTGGCTAAGGTTGTTTTTTTCTCAGCTTCATAAAAAGTGTTTCTGTTCAGCTTTTGGGGGACACCCGGGGGCCATTGCCAGAGGTTTCTCCTGGCAATGCACAGGGACCATGATGATGCCTAGGATCGAACCTGGGTGCACTGCATTTCAAGCCTCTTGGTGTTTCTCTTAGGGGGTGAGATTTACTGTATTTGGGGTAGGGCAGGCCTTGGTATTGCTCGGGACCATATGGGGTGCTGGGGGTTGAACCCACATTGGCCATGTGCAAGGCAAACACTCTTCCTGCTGCACTATCTCTCCAGCCTCTTTATTTTTTAAATTCTACTTATTTTGCGGTTTGCCCCCCCCCCCCCCCCCCGGGGTCAGGCTTACTCCTGGCTCTGCACTCAGGGATCACTCCTGTCATGCTCAAAGGACCATATGGGGTGCAGGGATTGAGCCTGGTTTGGCTGCTGGCAAGGCCAACTCCCTGCCTACTATCACTCTGGCCCCAGGGTTACTCTGTTGTGTTTGCACAGCTGCTTTGCAGCCTGTCCTAAGCAACCCTCTCCTTTACTAGCCAAGAAGTATGACGCCTTTCTGGCCTCCGAGTCCCTAATCAAGCAGATCCCCAGGATCCTGGGCCCAGGCCTGAACAAGGCTGGCAAGTTTCCTTCTCTGCTGACCCACAATGAGAACATGGTGGCCAAGGTTGACGAAGTCAAATCCACGATCAAGTTCCAGATGAAGAAGGTGGGTCAGGCCTGCCTTGCCAGGCCCGGGGTTCATGATACAGGCATGCAGGTTGGCCCTCAAAGCGCATGCCTTGGTTCACGGCCCGATAGAGACTTGGGAGGTGACGGTCATGGGCCCAGTATTGCTCTAGGGTCCAGCCATGGGCCAGATGGGTGGGCCATCTGGCTAAGAAATATCTCTCCAGCCTGATGTGTATTTGTTAGGTTGGGGGGCCATACCCAACTGCTGCAGGGTTAAATCAGTCGTGTGGCCCTCACCCACCTGGTCTTGCCCTCTGCTCACAGGTGCTGTGTCTGGCGGTGGCTGTCGGCCATGTGAAGATGACGGACGACGAGCTCGTCTACAACATCCACCTGGCTGTCAATTTCCTGGTGTCGTTGCTGAAGAAGAACTGGCAAAACGTCCGGGCCTTATACATCAAGAGTACCATGGGCAAGCCCCAGCGCTTATACTAGGCACCCTGAATAAACCGAGTACTGCCGTGTGTCCTTCTGCCTGTGATTGGGGGGCAGAAAGTGGGTGCTGGGGTAGCTCTGCCGTCTCTGGAGCATCAGTGACAGGTCCTGCCAACATTACCATCAGGACCCTTTCCGGAGTAGGATCTGAGAAGTGGGACCGTGAAGCTGCTGGATAGTGAACAGCCCCCTGTGATTATATAGTGTTCAGGAGCCTGTGATCTAGGAAACTGAGGCGCTTCCTTGATCCTTCTGGGCTGTGCTGGCTGCCCGCAGTGGCCCAGTGAATTGCAGGGTAAGATGCTAGGGAAATGCTAGTAGACTACGCCAGCTTGTAACTTGGAAGCCCTGTTGGAAGAGTTTCTGGGTATGTTACAAAGTGTGGAGACTGGCAGCTTCCAGACTCTTTGCACCTGGCCAGATTTATGTCACCTTTTTGGCCTGGGGCACTAGAAAGATAGCTTTTTTGGGGTGAGAAATAGCTGAGATTAAACCCTTGATGTGATTTTCATTTGACTTATAAATACAGGAACCAATTTATTCTTTTAATCAGAGGAAGTGCTCAAATAGAAATAATCTGCCTGAGACCAGGCAGTCTGTAGTGTTTGAAGCATGAATAGCACCAAATGATTTGGGGGGTTTCCTCTATCGTGCAGTGATAGTGTAATAGGTAAGGTGCTTAACTTGGACTCAGGTTGATCTTGGTTTGATTAGAGCATTCCATATAGTCCTCTGAGCATCCCCGCATGCCAAAAGTGGACTTGTCATTTTTTCTGAAATTTGAAGATCTAACTTGTTTTTTTGCTTTTTGGGTCCACCCAGCAATGCTCAGGGGTTACTCCTGGCTCTTCACTCAGAAATTAGTCCTGGTGTTGCTGGGAATCGAACCCGGGTCGGCCACATGCAATGCAAATGCCCTACCAGCTCTGCTCCAGCCCCTGGTCTATTTTAGTCAGGGAAAAGGCAGCATCTGTGACTTGGTGAAGTGCACTAGTTAGTGTTCAAGACTTACTCTTGGCTTCACACTTGGCCTAAACCGGGTAAGCATTGTCCTTACCGCTGTGCTAAGGCTCCAGCCCCCAGGCAAACAGGTACTTTATACCTCTACCTCTCACAAAGCTGCCAACTGCAGGAGGAACGCAGGGGAAGGGGGGGGGGGCTACCCACTGTATTATTCCTTCACCCCATAGTCTCCAGGATTTTTATGGGCACCGCTTGGCCAACACCCACAGTGCTGCTGACCAGGGCAGTCAGTGGAGCTAAAGGTTTCGGAAGATTTCTCCTAACCTGATGATGAAGGCCAGCCACAAACTTGCTTGCTTAGGGCTGCAGGCCAGAAGCCCAGCTCTGCATCTGGTGCCAGGTTACAGCCAGCTGACTTCTCTCTGGCTCCGCTCGGATCCCTCCTGGCAAGGCTCAGATGACCATAGACACCAGGGATCAGCCTCCGGAAGGGCAAGGCTGTACTATCTCTGACCTATGGAAACTTGCTGAGGGCCACACCTGATGGTGCTTAGGATTTATTCTTGCTTCTGGTCAAAGGTCACCTCTGGCAATGCTCAGGGAACCATTTAAGATGGTTCTGTCCTGGTACTGTCCTGCCCCGGAAGATTTAAGCATCATCTTTTCCAGTTTTGGGATGACGCCTGGTGATGTCCAGGATCTGGCTTCTCATGTCTATAATCTTCATTTTCATCTGCTCATGCGGGTGGCAGTATCTGCTCAAAAGTTGTGAGGGACCCTGAATTAGGACACTTCCCTTGCACATGTGAGGCCCTTGGTTCAGTTCCTGGCACACACTGAGGTGTGCTGCCAGACTCCAATTAGGACTGGAAAGGTAGGACAGGGGTCTGGACCAATCCCAGCGCAATCCCCAAAACCCCATGTGGTCCCTCAGCACCAGGAGTGACCATGAGCACAGAGCTAGGAGTAATTCCTGACCACTGCCAAGTGTAGCTCCAAAACCAGAAAGTCCTACACACTCAGCTGTGCTCAGGGCTTTTTCTTGGTTCTGTGCTCACTGCTCACTCCTGGCAGTGATTTTTTTTTTTTTCTTTTTGGGTCACACCCAGCGATGCTCCGGGGTTACTCCTGGCTCTGCACTCAGGAATTCTGGTGGTGCTCAGAGGACCATATGGGAAGCTGGGGATTGAACCTGGAGTGGTCACGTGCAGAGCAAACACCCTCCCTGCTGGACTATCATTCTGGCCCTTCCTGGCAGTGCTTGAGGGACCATATTTGGTGCCCAAGATCAAACTTGCTGGCGTGTAAGGCCTTCCCCTCTGCATTTTCTGTCCAGTTCCCAGTAAAAGCAGCATTTTAAGCATAGTGCTAGCACTTGGTACTTAACCGGAAGTTACAAAATGTTGTTATGTAGTCCTGCATACAGAGGACACAGCCCCTGTGCAAGAAACACCTGGGACAATGAGGTTTCATGCCCCTTGCATGCCTGCAATAATTGCACAAGAAGGCGAGTCACAGATTTTTTTGGTTTCTCGATGCACGCCAACGTTGGGTTTTCTGGGAACGTGAGACACTGGGGTTCAGTTCCTGCCACTGCAGAGCCCCTCAGCGTGGTGGGAGTGGCTGCAATCCCAGTGTGGGGGAGAGGGCTGGGGGTGCTCATACCCAACACATGCAAGACCCTGGGCTCACACGGGTGCCACACGGCCCCCCGGGACTGCCTGGGTGACCCCTGGTTGGCCCGGTACCATCAGGAGTGCACTCAGGCCCCCTGAGCACTCGAAATGAGTGCCCCTCCCCCCACTTAGTTTGCTCAATTCTGGCAGGAGTGGGTAGCAGGCTGGGGTCAGCCGCTTCCAAGGAGTTTGACATCACCTCTGTCTGCTCCGAGTGTGGATAGGTAGGGCTGGGGACCGCCCCCAGCAGCGACAGGGTGAGGTGACGCAACTGACCAGGCCCTAAAGCAGGAGCGCCGGCCGGAAGCTGTTCCCGTCCCGAGGTCTACGCACACGCTGGCCACACGGGAGCCCACAAACAAATAACTTTAATTGGTGTTTGTTTGTTTGCAGCCGGAGCAGGGCCTTGAGGAGCCCTTGCCCCAGCCCCGTGACACATTTATGATATAACCCATCACAGCTGGATTTAAAAAATACACAAAAAAATATATAATATACATTATAAAACCGAGGTTGGGGCTGGAGGTGGCCTGAGCGAGACGCACGCGGTGAGAGCCGTCAGGAAGCTCAGGGGAGCGGGGGGAGGGGTGGGGCACAGTACTTCATGTGAAACTTAAATATCCAGGTGGCTGGGGTGGCAGCCACGGGGCCCGGGAGACGGGGGGGGGGGGGGGGGGGAATGCCCCCCGCTTCCTGCCTGACCCTCCAGCCTATTCCGAGCCCAGGTCTACCTGGGCACCATGCCCCATCAGAAGGCTGTGGGGCCGGGGGACTCGGGTACCCCATCCGACAAGGCGCGCTGGGAGAGGGCTGGCCTCAGAGCCCCCCGCCTGGACAGCTGGCAGCAGAGGGCAGTTTCCGCCCTGCTGCAGGGGACTCTGGGCAGGTGACGTGCCCAGGTCCCCGAGGTCTGCTCCTTCCTGTATCGTGCCTGACCCCCACTGCGGCCTCTGTGGCTGACCCCCACTGCAGGGAGCTCGTGTCCTTGTTGGTTTCTCCGGGGACAGGGGTGAGGGGGACCGGTGGGGAGAACCCCAGCTTTGCCTGTTCCCCCAGGCAGGGTCTTGGATTCTCAGTACCCCACCGGGCTCGCCTAGCAGGCGTGAGGTGGTCCGGGGCACGTAGAGGCCGGCACCTGGGCGGGCACCTGGGCCCTGCTCTTGCCTCCACCCACCCCTGCCTGGCCCGCTCGGTCCAGGGTCTCTGCACGCCGACTCCTCCCTGGTCTACATCCTATCACGGGGCCACCCAACCTGAGCCCCGGCTCCTCCTCCCTCCTCGGCTGGGCAGAGCGGGGTGGCGGCGCCCCGTGGAGCCCCCCTCTCTCCGCCCACAAGTAAAGCGCAGAACAGTGGCAGGGAGTGTGTGTGGTGGCGGGAGCGGGCAGCCTCCTGGGTCCCGGCTGAGTCCTGGGTCCCGGGCACCGGGGGTGCAGGGCCAGGCGGGGGTGTGGACAAGATGCTCATCCCGGTCGTGGTGGTGGCGGCAGAGGACGCCCTAGTCTTTGACGAGCTTGTAGACATGGTGCTGTGCCCCGTGCTCGCTGGCGGAGACTTCGAAGACAAAGGCGATGACCAGCAGCGTCTCCTGGGAGTCCCGGCTCGTGACCACCTGTGGGGCCGGAAGAAGGAGTAAGCCCTGAGCACCTCCAGGTGTGGGCCAGGAAAGGAAACAAAATCTAAACAGGAGCACGGGGCTGGGGCTGGGCTGACCCTTGGCCCCGAGTGCGTCTCCTCTGGGCCCTGAACACACACACCTGCAGGATGGTAAAGTTCATCATGAACTACACACATGCAGGCACAGACACACGCACACACACCTGCAGGATGGTGAAGTTCTTTCTCCATCATGCCGTTCATCATATACTACACACACACATACATCCACACATACACACGCACACATACATACTCGCACACCTACAGGATGGTAAAGTCCTCCAGCATGCTATTCATGATGTACAATACACACACACACACACACACACACGTGCGTGCACGCACACACACACACACACATACATGCTCACACACACAACTGCAGGATGGTGAAGTTCTCCAGCATGCTGCTCATCATGTACTCCACACACCTACACACAACTGTGCATGTACACACGCACCACACGCACATGCGCACACAGACACATGCTCACACACATGTGCACGCACACACACATCTGCAAGATGATGAAGTTCTCCAGCATGTTGTCATGTACTAAACACACACACACATATGCACACACACACACTGCAGGAAGTTCTCCAGCATGCTATTCATCATATAATACATACACACGCGCACATACACACACACACACACACACACACACCTGCAGGATGGTGAAGTTTCCCAGCACGCTGCTCATCATCACACACCCACACACAACTGCGCATGTACACACGCACATGTGCACACAGACACATGTTCACACACATCTGCAAGATGGTGGAGCTCTCCAGCACGTTGTCAAGTACTAAATACACACACATACACACACACATGTGCGCGCACACATACTCACACACCTGCAGGAAGTTCTCCAGCATGCTATTCATCATATACTACATACACATGTGCACATACACACACGCACACACCTGCAGGAGGGTGAAGTTCTCCAGCACTTTGGTCATGTACGTCTCACACACACATACACACACACACACACGCGCACACACACACACCTGCAGGAAGTTCTCCAGCATGCTGTTCATCATATACTACATACACATGTGCACATACACACACACACACGCACACACCTGCAGGAGGGTGAAGTTCTCCAGCACTTTGGTCATGTACGTCTCACACACACACACACGCGCGCGCACACACACACACACCTGCAGGAAGTTCTCCAGCATGCTATTCATCATATACTACATGAACACACACACACACCTGCAGGATGGTGAAGTTCTCCAGCACGCTGTTCATCATGTACTTCTCGGGCAGGTGCTTGAGCTTGTGGATGAAGTTGATCATGTACTCGCACATGGGCGAGCGGTGGATGCGGTACACGAAGCGCCCGTTCTCCAGCCTGGCGTACTCGGTCTGCAGAGAGGGGCAAACGCGGCACTTCGGGGCCTGCTCCGGGCCAGGGCTTGGGGGTGGGGGCTGTCCCCTGCTCCCCGACTCACCTCCACCTTCTCCACCACCTGCTTGCCGAACGAGCACACCTTGGTGGAGACGCTGATGGTCATGCTGTCCGAGGAGCTGTACTGGGAGCTGACGCCGTAGAAGGCCCCGGGGCCCTCCTGGATGGTGCTGTTGAGGTCGGCCTGTGTGTGGGGGTGGGGAGGCAGGGGTGGGTACTGTGAGTGCTGGCGTGAGGGGCCATCTGGGCTGAGGACCTCCTGCCAGCACTGCCAGGGGCTCCAGGAGACAGCGGGGAGAGCGGCCGGAGCGACAGGCCAGCCGGGAGGGTGCCAGCCCCGCATGCTCCGAGCTGGGTCTGTCCCCGGCACCCCATCCGGTCCCCCAGCCCTGCCCGCAGTGACCCCTGAGCATAGAGGCAGGCGCCAGAGCACGGGTCAGCTGCGTGTGCCCCTCCACACACAAACTAGGACCAAGTGCAGCAGGGAACCCACGGCAGCTCACCCAGAACTTGACGAGGAAGAAGGCATTCGGGGGGCCTTTCTCATAGAGCTCCTTCAGCCCCCCCTTCTTCTCGGGGAACTTGTCGTAGATCTGACGGACGTCCACCGCCTCCAGGGGCGGGTCCGAGAAGGCAGGGTTCGTTTGGCCGATGTGCACAAAGAGGTGTTTGCTGTACTGTGGGGAGGGCCGGCGCCGGGTCAGGACAGCTGCGGTGGAGGGGGTGGGACGGGGGCCCCGCAGGGCAGAGGTGGTGGCCCCCAGCCCACTCCCGCCTCGCCCCACGTTACCGTGTCGGGGTCCCGCTGCACCTCCATGAAGGCCGAGTACTCGAGGAGCCGCAGGCGCGACGAGGCGATGGTGCGGTCCTGCCACACGGGCACGGAGGCGGCGGCAGGGGGCAGCGGGGCCAGCGGCTCATAACCTGCGGGAGGAGGCAGACGTACCGTGTGTGTGTGTGTGTGTGTGTGTGTGTGTGTGTGGCCCGAGGGTCACAGACATGTCAACAGGCCTTTTCGTGGGGGGCTGGAGTGATAGCACAACGGGGAGGGCATTTGCCTTGCACGCGGTCGACCCGGGTTCGAGTCCCAGCATCCCATAGGGTCCCCCGAGCACTGCCAGGAGTGATTCCTGAGTGCAGAGCCAGAAGTAACTCTGTGCGTCACTGGGTGTGACTCAAAAAGAAAAAAAAAGTAAAGTCAGGGCGGGCACTTGTCTGTTTGTGGCCAACGGGTTCAATCCCAGGCATCCCACATGGTCCCCTGAGCACCACCAGGAATAAAGCCGGGAGTAACCCCTGAGCATCGCCAAGTGTAGCCCAAAACCCAAAACCAACCACAACAAAAAATGATAAAAGTCATTAAATAACAAGATTAAAATCTGAAGATTTTGGGTGTATTTCCTTACAGAAAATGTTCCATCCAAGGGAACAATGTTATACATTTGGTGACTGGCTCTTGAGTTTTGGGGTCACACCCAGTGTGCTCAGAGCTTAGTCCTGGCTTTGTGTGCAGGAATCACCTCCCCAGCACCCCACCTGGGCTCAGGGACCGTGTGGGGTACGGGGAGGACTGAACTCTGTCAGTGGTGTGTAAGGGCCTTCCAACTGTACTATTTCTCTGCCCCAGAAGAGAGCTTCTTGCAGAGGAGCTCTTAAAGTAATATTGTAGGGGCTGGAGCGATAGCACAGCAGGTAGGGCGTTTGCCTTGCACGTAGCTGACCCGGGTTCGATTCCCAGCATCCCATATGGTCCCCCAAGCACCACCAGGAGTGATTCCTGAGTGCATGAGCCAGGAGTACCCCTGTGCATCGCCGGGTGTGACCCAAAATGAAAAAAAAAAGCAATGTTGTAAAAGGTAGGAGGCTAGTCAGGGTCTGTCCCATGCCCCAGGAGATGTGTCTACAGACTCTCTCACATACTCACACACAACTTCACACACACGCACACACACACTCCCTCATACACTCACATACACACAACTGACATACACTCACACGCACCCTCACATACACACACCCTTATACACTCACATACAAACACACAAACTCACACACACAACTTTCATACACATCCTCACAGACACATATATACCTTCCCATACTCATACTCACACACACCCCCTCACATACACACAACTTTCATACACACATACACACACCCTTATACACTCACACACAAACACACGAACTCACATACACGACTTTCACACACATACCTATACACATCCTCACACAGACACATATAATACCTTCCTATACTCACACACTGATACACTCACACACACACCCCTCACATACACACAACTCTCACTCACATCTACACACATACTCTCAGGCACACCTACACACACATCCTCACATGCACCCTCACACACATCCTTAAACACCCTCACACTCTCACATTCACATAATCACAACCTCACTCATACATCCACCCACTCTCACACATCTACACACACCCTCACACGCACCCTCACTCATGTACACACCCTTATTCACATGTACTCACAATCATCCCCTCATCCCTACATCCACCTTGACTCACACACACAGTCACACACCCTCACTCACACACATACCCTTGCACTCATACATACCCTCACCCACACCCCCATACCCACACTGATTCATACATTCACCCCCACACTCCTACACTCACTCTCACACACATTCAAACCCTCATACAGTCACATTCATTCTCACATTCACACTCATTCACATGTGCCCACACTCATATATCCCCACATGCATGTGTGCACACATATACACCCCCGCAGACCGACAGACACACATTCACCCTTCACACACAAGTACACACCCCATGCGTGCGTACACGCACACCCACACATACCCCCCACACGCACACACACGCATACACCAGCCACATACACACGCACACATACACCCCCCCCACGTGCGCGTGCACACCCCCCTGCTGGGCTCCCCTGCCCTATCAGAGGTGCGGGCGAGGCCCGGGACTTACTGCCGAGCGCCGGAGGCAGGGGAGGCTGGATGGGGTAGGCTGGCTGTGCAAAGGGCTTGATGCTGCAGGAAGGAGCACAGCCTGGTTAGAGTGTCACCCCTTCCCCGTCCCCCCTCCCACCCGTGACCTGGGCGGTCTCATCTGGGCCCTCAGCAGAGCGCACCCCTGCCTTGAGCAAGGCCCCTGGTGTGAGCCCACAAGCTCTCGGCCCAGCCCTGTTTCCCCTGGCCCGCCTCCGCCCCAACGCTGCTCAGGGTGGCGTGGCAACCCCACCCTGGGGCGGCTCATGAACCCCTCGGGGCGCCCAACCAGGAAGGTTCCAAGTAAAGGAGCCAACGACTAGTCCCCGGCTGCCGGTCTGGGAGATTGACGCAGAGATTAGCTGGGGGAAAAATAAACGGAGGAAGACAGCGGCCCAGCGGCTGAGGCCCGAGCAAACAAAGAAAGATCCGTGGGCCAGCCCCCCCCCCCCCCCCCCGCGAGCCCCTCTTCAACCCTCTGGGGGGTGTGTGTGTGGGGGGGGGGGTATCGGCTCACACCCAGTGGTGGTCGGGGGCAATTTCTGGCTCTGTGCATGTGGGGAGTGACCCCGGCGGGGCGGTGTTTCCCGGGAAGAACCTCACCCCTGCACTGTCTCTCTGGCACGCACCCCCCCCCCCCCTTTCCCAACTAAAACTGTGCGGGCAGGATCCTATGCGGCTGCGCGGGGATGAGAGGGCGCATGGGAGGGACCCCCACCCCCAGCTGCCAATACTCACTCCTGAGAGGGTCCAGGCTGCTGTCCCAGGAGAGGGGGGCTGCTCCAGAACTGCGAAAAGGGGACAAGGACCCGTGAGTATCCTCCCCTCCCGTCCCTGCGCCCCCTCCCTCCGCCTGGGGCCCCCTCCCAGGGCCCCCCCATACCCGGGAGGACGAGGAGAAGACGGCCTGGGGCAGGGGGGAGGGCGGGCGGAACTTGTTCTGCAGGACACTGGCCGAGACGATCTGCGCCGAGGACATGGACGCCATGCTCTGGAGCGCCTTGTCCTTGGACACCTGGTCCTGCAGGGACGGAGGGACACTGAGCCGGGCAGGACTGGGCGGCCCGGACCCCCGCCCGACCCACTCAGCACCAGCACAGTCCTCTCTACAGCCCCCCCTCTCCCTGCCCTGCTCAGCCCACACCAGGAAGTGCTTCGTGTTTCTGTCTCAAGCCTAACACGGCCCCTGTGGGGCCCGGGGTGCCCTGTCTACGTCTGCGGCAGCACCTCCCGGACGCTTGCTCAAAGCGCCAGTTCTGGGGCTCATATGTGCTCTACATCAGGGATTCCTTTTCCCTCTTGGATTTTCAGTCATACCCAGCGGTGCTCAGGGCTCTGTCCTGGCTCTGCCCTTAGGGATCACTCCCGGCCGGCTCAGGGACCGTATGGGGTACCAATCTATGCAAGGCAAGTGCCTCCCCCGCTGTACATCGCTCTGCCCCTGATTTTATCTTCACAGGCCCCCAGGTTCATTCTGATGCTAAAGATTGAGAACCATAATATTTCATGCTTATTTTTTTTTTGGGGGGGGTCACCAGGCAGTGTTCAGAGGTCACTCCTGGAGGTGCTTGGGAGACCATATGGAATGCCGGAGATCAAACCCGGGTAGGCTGTGTGCAAGGCAAATACCCTACCCGCTGTACTCTCACTCCGGCCCTTATTTATTCTTTAAAATTCTGTTTATTATTAGTAATAATAAGGACAGGGCCACACCTGGAGGTGCTCAGGGCTTAGTCCTGGCTCTGTATTCTGGGAGCCCTATGCGGTGCTGGGGATGGAACTTGGGTCTCTCCTATGCCATGTACGGGCTGGTCTACTGCGTTCTCTCCAGCCCGGAGATGCATTGTGTAAGTACATCCCACTGGCAGACCTATCCGATGGACTTCACAACTACGGGATTTAAAAGTCCCCTAGCTAAGTGTCCTGTTTAGCGTCTTGGTCCCAGAGTCAGCCCTCCCCGCTGCCTGGGGGCGGGTGGTACTTACCAGGTTCATGGCCTGTGAAGGAGAGGGAAGACAGGTTAGACACATAGATAGCCCCTGGGCGGGGCCAAGCCCAAGCCCCGCCCACCGACGCCCAGCCCCACCCTCTGGGGGGCCCTTCCCTGTACCCCCAACCCTCTAGGGGCCCTGGACGGTCAGGCTGACCCGGGACAGGCTGGAAGCCTGGATCCCACAGAGCTGGTGTCCCTGGAGTGTGTTCACAGTCTCTGTGGCCGGGATACAGGCCCAGGGGACTGTCGGGGGGCATGGGTAGGGGTTTCCCAGGCCTGGAACCCTAGGCTCCGAGACCCTCAGCCACAGGATCCCTCCCGATGAGTGGAGGACCCTACAGGATGCCAGGGATCGAACCCGGGTCGGCAGTGTGCAAGCGCGAGGTGCGGTTCCCGGGATCGCCAGGCCCACCATGTCAGCGCTGCAGCCTGGACCCCCGAAGGTCTTCCCCTGCCCACCTCAAGGCCCCTGCAGGCAGCAAGCAGCGATCAGGAGGAAGGAGAGAAAGGAAACCAGAAAAGCGGGGTGAGGACCTGGGGGGGGGCCCTGACTGGCCCCCTTCCCCTTGCTGGCCTCGGGGGAGGAGGGGACCCTGCCTAGTCCCTGGCCAAGATCCAGGGGGCAGTAGCAGGCCTGGGCCAGGCCTCGGGACGGGGGACCCCCTACCTTCAGCTTGGACTGAACCTCGCGAGATTTCCGCCTGGCTAGAACCTGCAAGTGGCTAGAGACCTGGAGAGAGAGAGAAAGAGCGAGAAAGAGAAAAAGAGCGGAAAGAGCACCAGAAGACCAGGCCGGAACCGAGCTGGAGCCAGAGCACAGGCAGAGTGGGCCAGAGAGCCCGAGGGAGGCGCCGGCGCGGGGGCAGAGCAGAGGCTGAGGCCCCGGGCAGGCGCCCAACATACCTTGATGCCAACCTGGTATTCCCGCACCTTCTTCCGAGCTAGAACCTGTATGTGGCTGGACACCTAAGGGCCGCCCCGCGCCCCGCCGGAGAGGAAAACACACACAGTGAGGGTGCGGCACGGACACACAGCCCGCATCTCTGAGATCAAAGGGGCGTGGGGGGGGGAATGCGGGACCCGGTGGGCAGGCACCCTTTAGCCCTGCTAGCACTGCGCTCTCCCTGGCCCTGGCCTGGGTCAGGAACCTGCATGATTTCCTGGATGGCCATGTGCAGCTGGAAAGGTTGCTCACTGCACAAGAGTGCCTGGCCCAAGGAGGGCCACACTGAGCCCAGCGGGAGGAGCGCTGGCTGGGTTTTTGTTTGTTTGTTTCCCAGAAGAGAGGGACCATTTCACTGGTGCGCTCAGAGGAGGCATCTTCTTTGGTTTCTTGTGTTTTGAGTCACTACCGTCATCAGAGGGCATGCTGCTGAAATCAAACCAGGGTCGGCCAGGTGCAAGGCAAACGCCTTACCCGCGGTGCCAGCGCTTCACCCTGGAGGGAATATCTTTTTTATTCTCTTTATTCCCCTTTCCTTGCTATTGTGGGGGCCTTCCCTGGAGGAACTCAGGGCAGCCGGGATCGAACCCAGGCCACGGGAAGGCCCGTGCTCTACCACTCAAGCCCCATCCCTGAGCCCATACCGTTGTTTGCTAATTCGCATCTGAGGTAAGTGATGGCCATAATGTTCCTGATGGCAACCATGGTGTTCACATCAAGGCCATGGCCACTATGTCAGAGCTTCTGGCCACGGCACTGTCTTCCTGTCAGCTTGCCCCCCTCCAAGCCCCCTCCTGTCTCATCTATGCAGTTCCTGATGGCCCATGCCCCCCATCTCCTGGCCTCACACGTGGCAGAGTGTGCATGTGTGTACGTGTGTGCACACGCACGTGCTTGCGTGTCTGTGCACATGTATGCATGTACATGCGTGTATGTGTGTGCATGCATCTGTGCCTGTGTGTGCATGTGTGCGTGGGTGCGCGTGTATGTGTGTGCACATGGGCGTGCTTGAGTGTCTGTACACGTGTATGCATGTGTGCATGTGATGCACACGTATGCATGGACGTGCATGTATGTGTATGCATGTATGTATATGTGTGTATGTGTGTGCACACGTGCATGTTTGCGTGTCTGTCCACATGTATGCATGTGTGAATGTATGTGCACGCATGTGCATGTACACGTGTATGTGTGTATATGCGTGTGCACACGTGCATATGTACATGTGTGGTGCACACATGTGCATGTACATGTGTGTATGTGTGCGTGTGTGTGCACAAGTGCATGCGTACATGTGTGGTGCACACATGTGCATGCACATGCATGTATGTGTGTGCATGCATGTATGTATACATGTGTGTGTGCATGTGTGTATGTGGCTCCCACTCAGGCTACGAAGGCCCAGGGGCCCCACGAGCAATTCTCAGCTAACCTGGCTGCTGGCTGAATGCAGGGTCCCAGGATGCAAGGCTTCTGGGGCCCTGTGGCACTGGGGACACGCGGGCTACACCTGGCCGTACTGGGGGGCTCCCAGATTCCCTGTGCGGTGGGCATGCACCCTAACCAGGTATCCGGGCCCCCTCTGCTGGTGGGCCTGAGCTGAGTGCAAGAAGAGTGCAAAGACGCACGTGTGCACACACACACATACACACACACACACACACACACACACATGCACTGTGCCACTCACAGTCCCTTGTGCTGTCCCTGACCCTGAGCCCCAGGGAGCCCACCTGCCCTGCAGCCCTCGAGGCTGCTGTGCTAAACCACGGCAGCCTTGACTTTCTCTACAGGTTGCCTCTGGGAGGTAGGGGGGCCCCAAGCAGTGCTCAGGAGTCCCAGCAGCCACAAGCAGCAGTGCTCGGTCTGACTGTGTGAGCCAGACAGACAGACGGTCAGTGCTTGGTCAGTGATGCCGGGTGGCTCAGCCCAGGGGTGCTGGGGGCCGGGCGAGTGGATCTCACCTGGTGGGGTCTGCGCCGGCCCTTGGTGTGCAGGGGGTTGGGGGGTTAGATGCCCACAAATCAAGTTTCTTCTTATTTAGTTTGGGTTTGGGGACACACCTGGCAGTTCTCAGGGGTTAGTCCTATCTCTGTACTCAGAAATTACTCCTGGCCCTGGGCTTAGGGAACCATATGGGATGCCGAGAATCGAACCCACATCAGCAGTCTACAAGGCAAACACCCTACTCACTGCACTGTCACCCCTACTCATTGTACTGTCACCTCTACTCACTGTATCATCCCTACTCCCTGCACTATCACTCCAGCACCGAGGAGGAGGCTCCCCCAGATCCTCGGGGACCCCGGCACGGAGAGGGCCAGCCGCGAAGCCGAGGTCACTCAGCTGGAGTCAGACTGGGGCTGGAGAGGCCAGCCCAGGGGCCCACTCTGTCCTTGCGGGGCGTGGCCCTGTGAGTTGTTCTTGTGCATGGATCTGTGAAAAACAGAAACTGCATTGTTTTTGTTTTTGTTTTCTTCGGGGCCACACTCAGGGGTTCCTCCGGGCTCTGCTTCAGGAATTACTGCTGAAGGTGCTCGGGGGACCACGTGGGGTGCCAGGGATGGAACCAGGGTCAGCTGCGTGCAAGGCAAACACCTTATCCTCTGTCCTGTTGCTCGGCCCTACAAACTGCATTTCCCCTCCTGAAGTCAGTAAAACCCTGAGAAAAACCTTGCCTGTCCATGCTGCCCTGCCTCAGCTACTACACAGTGCCTTTGCTTTATTCAGTTGTTTTGTTCTCTTTTTTTTTTTTTGGCTCACACCTGGTGTTGGCCAGGGGTTACTCCTGGCTCATGCATTCCGGAATTACTCCCAGATGGGATGCTGGGAATTGAACCCGGGTCGGCAGCGTGCAAGGCAAATGCCCTACGCACTATGCTATCCCTCCAGCCCCCTCATTTTTGTTTTTGGGCTAAACTCGGAGCTGCTCAGACGTTCCTCCTGGATCTGCACTCGGGGATTACTCCAGGCGGTGCTCAGAGACCATACGGGATGCTGGGGATTAAACCTGGGTGGGCCCAAAACAAGGCAAACGCCCTCCCCTCTGGACCATCGCTCCTGCCCAGGTTTATTCAGTTTGGGGGCAAGTCACACCTAGCGGTGCTTGGCAGGGCTGCTCCTGGCTCTGTGCTCGGGGCTTGCTCTGGCTGGTGCTGGGAGACCACGCGGTGCCTGGGATGGGGGCCATGCGTCCTGCATACATAGCCTGCGTCCTACACCCCGACCCGCCAGGGTTGCTGGGAGCTGGGAACCTGGAGGGGTCGGCTGCCTGAGGCTCGAACCGAACACTGAGGTCCTCATGACCCCGCCAACAGCTCCCCTCTCATCCCTCAAAACACTCCCTGCAAAGGGGCGGCAGGACCCCAGAGTGGCGGCTTCTAAAGACAGAGTCAGGCCAGGCAGCAGCAAATCCTCACATGCCGACTCTAGACTAAGACTCGGGAAAGGAGAACTAACTTCCTTTTTTATTTCCTTCCTTCCTTCCTTCCTTCCTTCCTTCCTTCCTTCCTTCCTTCCCATTCGGAAAACGAGAACTAACTTCCTTCCTCCCTCCCTCCCTCCCTCCCTCCCTTCCTTCCTTCGCACCATGTGGTCCCCCAGACACCACAGGGACCATATGGCATGCCGGGGATCCAACTCAGGTCAGCCTTTGCAAGGCCAGTAGCAAACTACTGAACTCTCTCTCTGGCCCCATTTTGCTTTTGTGTTTCTTTCTGGGCCACCCCTGGGAGTGCTTGGGGCTTTCTTCTGGCTCTGCATTCAGGGAATTGCTCCTGGCAGGACTCAGGGAACCATATGGGACGCCGGGGATGGAACCTGGATTGGCCGCATCTAAGGCAAGCGCCCTCCCCACTGGGACAACAGTAAATTTTTTCTTTCTTTCTTTCTTTCTTTCTTTCTTTCTTTCTTTCTTTCTTTCTTTTCTTTCTTCCTTTCTGCTTTTTGGGTCACACCTGGCGATGCACAGGGGTTACTCCTGCCTCATGCACTCAGGAATCACTCCTGGCGGTGCTCGGGGGACCATACGGGATGCTGGGAATCGAACCCAGATCAGCTGTGTGCAAGACGAATGCCCCACCCGCTGTACTATCGTTCCAGCCCCGCGACGGTAATTTTTTTTCCCTGTGAAGGGGGAGGGTTAGTACACACAGCAGTGCGAGGGCTGCTCCTGGCTCAGTGCTCAGGACCCTGTGGTGCGGGGGATTCAAACCCGAGCCTCCTGCATGGAGGCAGCCAGCCACCAGCCGAGCCTTGGCTGGGCGCCCGGAGCCGCTGGCTGAGGCCGTGCTGGAAGGCGGGGCCAGTAGGAAACATTCCTCCGCTCTGCCAGCAGGGCCCTTGCTGCTGCCGGCTGGCCGGGGTCTGGACGGGGCAGCTCAATCATTCACCCGGGGAACAGAGCCGGCAGCCGGGGGCCGGCCTGGAGGGCAGTTAATAAGTGCTCGGACCAATGCGGGAGCATGTCTGCCTCTCCATGGGGCGGGTGGGGGGTCTCCACCTTCTAGGGCACAGCGGGCTGGGGCAGGGTCCCCCTGCACACACCGGTTGGTGGGTTCGAACCCCACCCGCACAGGCTGCTGGGAAGGGCTGAAACTCAGAGCTGCCTCCAAGCCGCCTGCCTGTCGGACACCCTGGGGACTCACCCCACTCACCCCCTTTGCTTTGGCTTTTTGGCTTTGCTTTGGGGGGGGGAAAGGGCACGCCGGGGTGCTTGGGGCCCGGCTCCTGGCTCTGCCCTCTGGGCCCATCCTGGCTCTGGCCCTCCCACCCCTTCCTCTCTCCCTAACCCCTCGACCACTCCCTTGCCCGGGGCCCCAGATGGCCTCTCACATCCCTGCCACTGCCACCCTCGCTGCCCACTGCCCGCCCTGTGGATCTAGGGTCAGTCCTGCTACTGCCTGCAGCCTCTCCCCTCCCCCCCCCGCCCTGCCCCTCAGCCCCAGCCCTGCCCCTGCTGTCCCCCTGTCCCTCAGGTCCCTGGCCCTGGGCTCCACCACACCTCCGCCCGCCAGCCCAATGTCCTAGAGGAGGCCACTTTACTTCCCCATGCCTCAGTTTCCTTATCTGTGCAATGGAGATAACTACTCTATCTACCTCTCTGATGGGAAGATTAAACAAATGAAAGTCAGCTCTGTATGGGTTCACCACTTTTATTTATAACCCAGCTTTCCCGACCTGGAATCTCTGTCTCTGTCTCTCTCTGTCTCTGTCTCTCTCTCTCCCGCTAGGCTAGCTAAATACAGAAATGAAGGAGCACTTCTTCCAGGAAGCCCTCCAGCTCTCTTTCTCCTCCCTCCCCAGTCCTCGTCATTCCTGTCCTCCCTCCTGGTCCGGGTTAACTGCCAGTCTCACAGGACCCTCAGGCCCGGCTGAGTGCTCTCGGGGCCGCTCAGGCCAGGGAGCTGGGGCTGCGGCAGCACGGGGCTGCTGTGTGGTCACTGACGGGGTGATGAGGGAGGTCAGTGCCCCTTCCTCCAGGATAGTGGCGCTCCGGAGCACTGGGAGCGTGAGGGAGCATCTGGCCGGGGAGGGAGGGGGTGGGGTGGGGGGGTTGTCACTGCACGTGGCGGCGTCTCTACCTGTTTTCTCGTCCGAGTCTTCCCCGTCCTCAGCTTAATGTAGCGTGCGATCAGCTCGTTCCGGCCTAGATGGGGGGGAGCGAGAAATGAGCAGGGCACAGGGTGGGCGAACGCTGGGTACAGGCCCTGAACCCCCAGACCTGCCCTCGGTCCCTCCACAGGAGCTGGGAAGTCTTGGCTGCCGGGGACGTGAGTCCCACAGAGTCGAGGAGAAGGGGCGGCCACAGGGGGCTGACCAGTGGCCCGCAGAGGGGGCAGGAGCTCGTGTGTGCATGGGTATGCACGTGAATGTGTGTGCATGTGAACGTACGCATGTGAGTATGCGTGTGAATGTGTTTTGTGTGTGTGCAAATGTGCGTGCATGTGCACGTATGCACGTGCGTGCTTATGTGTGTGCGTGTGAATGTGTGAGTGTGTGTGTGTGAACATGTGTGCATTTGTGTGCGCATGTGCAGGCATGTGAACGTGTGTTCAAGTGCGTGGTGTGAATGTGTGCACGTGCATGTGTGTGAACACGTGTGCATGTGTGTGTGCGTGTGAACGTGTGTTCAAGTGTGTGGTGTGAATGTGTGCGCATGTGCATGTGTGTGAATGTGTTAGTGCATGTGTGTGAACGTGTGAGTGCATATGCACGCGTGTGAAGGTGTGCAAGTGTGCGCGTGTGCACACATGTGGCTCAGTGAGTGAGCAGGGCTGCCTTGGTGGTCTGTTCTGCGGCCCTTGTCCTGGAAGACCCTGCCTGTGCCCCCTCCCCACCCCCGGGCTGTGCTGACACCGGCCAGTGCTCTCCACCAGTCTCCCTCCATGCCACGGGGCCACGGGGCGTCACTGTGTCCTGTGTCACCCACGACCAGAGTCTCACGCCCCCTTGGCCTGGGGTGGGCAGTTTCTGATCAGCTACAAGGACCCTCTGAGGGCCCTGAAGGCTGTCTGCTGGGCAGGGCGAGTGGCCGCGTGGGACAATGGAAGGGCTGTCAGCCTGCAGGGCGGCGCCTCTTACCCCAGAATCCAGCCCAGAGCCCCCAGCCCCAGTCCCGCGGCCGGCCGGGACATTCTCCGGATTCCTCTCCCAGGGCAGAACCGGCTATGCTGCTCCCCCCGCCCTGCTGAGACTATCTCTGGGGGCTGCCTGCCGGCGGCGGGGAAGAAATCCTGGGGACACCCCCTCCCACGTCGCCCACGCAAGAGGCTCTGGAGCTTGGGGTGGGCCTGGGAACCCAGGGGGCGCCCAGGGGAGCCCATAGCACTTGGCCCAGCTCTTTCCTTCCTGCGCCCCGTGCTGGCTCCAGCACCCGAGGCGGAGTGACCCTGAAAACGCAGTTCGGCCCTGGGGTGTGGGGGGGGGCAGGAAGTGAGGGGCAGATTGGGGGTTCGGGAGTGAGGGGGCAGCAGGGGGGGGGGGTGGCGGGGCCCAAGGGAGCTGACCAGAGGGAGGCTCCTACTCATTCTGGGGCTGACCCCTGCAGGGGACCCACCCCGGCCTTCTGGGGAGTGGACCCTCTCCCTGGCCTGGCCTGGGGCCTGCTGGACTGACCCAGTTTCCTGGACCCACTGAGTCACGCCGAAACCTGCAGGCCAGTTGGGGGGAGGAGGCGGCCGGCCAGCCGGGCGGGCAGGCGGGCGGGTGGGAGGTGTGGGCCTGGCTCTGGCCTGTTTATGAGGGTGCAGACACTCGCACGCCCAGACTCGCCCTGGCGGGCTGGCAGCCGCGCAGGACTTGGCCAAACCGGTTGGGTGAGGGGGCAGAGAGCAGGGGGAGGGGCGGCCCCGGGCCCCACACGCACCGTACATCTTGCCCTCGTCCGACAGGATGATCTTGCGGCGGCCGCAGGGCGGGTAGATGGCCAGGGCCTCCTGGAAGCTCTGCTCGATGTCCGGACTCCACACGCCCTCCGCGTCATTGTCCAGCCCCTTGTCCAGGCCCTCGGACCCATCTTCCCGGGCCTCCCCGGGGCTGCTGCTGGCGTTCCAGCTGTTGGACGCTATTGTGCTGGTTGCTCTGGGCTCGGGGCCTGAGCCCACCGGGGCGGCTGGGGCCTGGGAAGGGCAGACACACACGGGGGTCAGTCAGGGCAGGGGCCTTGCCGGTCCCCGGCCACGCGGAGGGCTCGCGCTCAGTGAGATCACGGCCCCCGGGGGCAACCGCACTGCCCATTCCCAGGCTTTGGGGCACAGCCCGGGCGGCGCCCGTGACGATGGTCCACACACGCGTCCTGGGGCCCTTCGCTGCACGTGCCTCCTTCGGCCCTTCGAATTCAGGCCGGATGGGGGGGAGGGGCTGCACCCACTGGGGACTGTGGAGGCTCTCAGGGGTTCCACAGCATCAGACACACCCAGGGGGGCAGGGCCCTGCGCTTCCACGGCGGAGGGGCTCCCTGGTGCTCACTCTGCATGCTCCTCCTCATCCCTGTCACCCCCACCCCCTGCCAGAAACCCCGCCAAGCCCCCTTGGCCTCCCAGCATGGGTTCGACTCTACTGGGCACCTGTGCTGGGAGTGGGGTGGGGTGGGGGTGGGGCCCCCCCAGGAGGCTGTGGCCTGGAAGGATGCAGGGCCCAGCGCGGCCCAGGAAGGGGCAAGGGAGCCTCCGAGAAGGTGCCACCGCCAGAGCCTTGCTCAACCCCGCCCGCCTGCCCGCCACCCCACTTCCTGTTCCCGCACCTCCCTTGGGCCCCACAGCAGCCCATAAACCAGCCACAGGCCGCGGGAAGGCCCCGCTCTGTAAACTCTGACCGCCCGTCCAAGTGACGGGCGCTTCTTAGGCCAGACATGCGCCCCCCGCCCCGGGAGATCCCAAGGGGGTCTCCAGGCCAAACCTCAACAACGAGATGGGGGGGGGGGTCAACCAGTAGGAAGGGAGGGGGCGTGGGAAGGAAAACAGGTCGGAAGGGGCCACGGGGGAGGAAGTAGAGAAACTGCCCGCTCCCAGCCGGACCCCACATGGCCAGGGGTGCTGACCGCTCCCCAGCAGCCCCCCCCCACTTGGCCGGGGGCTCCTGCAGCCTCACCGTCTCCATGGCCAGGCACGAAGGGAAGCCGGAGCCAGAGCACTTTAGACGATGCATCCTGGGGTGCTCTAGGCCTCAGGGTGGGGGCAGGGAAGAGAGGAAGGGTACCTCTTGCAGGCGGGGGAATCCCTCCTCCTCCCCAGCTCCTGAGGAATGAGTGGGGCTCTCCCTGTGGGGGTATCTGCTGGTTTAGGAAGTCTTTAAAAAAATGTTCACTTATTTTTTAGTTTTGGGGTCACTCCTTGGCTCTGCACTCAGGAATTACTCCTGGCGAGTTCAGGGGACCAAATGGGATGCTGGGGATCGAACCCGGCTTGGCCGTGTGCAAGGCAAGTGCCCTCCCCGCTGAACTCTCTCTAGCCCCTGCTTAGGGTGTCTAAGGGTAGGCCCCCAGTGGAATGGAGTCGGTGTGGGGGGTGGGGGGGTGATGTCAGTGTCACGACTGTCAGTAACTCTGGGCCATCAATAAGGCAGACACCCTTCTGGACACATAGCAACTCACTTAATCCTCACCCATTCCTAGGGGGTAAATACTAGTATTCTTTACCAGCGAGGAACCCAAGGACAGAGAGGTTAAGCAACAGGCTGAAGGACACACAGCCAGGAAGGGCCAGGGCCAGGCTCTCAAGCGAGGGTTTCCAAACTTACAAAGCCTACCGCTCCCTTCCCAGGGAAAGAATGACTCAGTGTCCCCTCAGAGAGCTGCCTCCTTTAAGGAAATAGACAGAACGCGCCTGGGCTCCTGGACAGGGGAGGCAGCTATGGCCGCCCCCCACCCCCCATCCTCCCAGCCGTGGTGGTGGGCCAGACCCACCAGGGCCAGTGGCCTTCAGCCTTCTCACTGAGGGGCCGGAGCTAGAACCCCATTACCTGCGGCAGCGAGGAGGGGTCCAGACCACCCTTTCCCCTTCCTGCCCCCCAGCCAGAGAAGCTGGGGCGACTCTGGAGCCCCGGGGCTGCTGAGGTGTTCAATGGGGGGCCCTCTGAGACCGCCCCCCAGGGCAGGAGAGAGGCCCCGCTGGGCCGACACTGGCCGGCATCACCCCTTCAACCCGGGGAACTGGCTTCTGATCCCCACCTCCTGAGCCTCGGGGGTCCTGGTTCCTGGACTGAAAACGGGAGGTGGGACAGGGCACGTGACCAGGCTGGGGGCTGGGGGGGACCCCCGCGAGAAGCAGGACTCCCCGGGTCCTCCTCCCCTGCCCGCTCGCTGCCCTCCCCCCCCCCCCCCATCCTCACCCACCCATGGCTCCTCCTCGGGAGCAGGAGGGGCCTGCGAGCCCGGGCCTTTGGGAAGCAACTTGGCTGCCTCCCCCGGCCTCCGCCGCCGCGTCCCCTCTCTGCAGGCAGTGCTCCCCCTCCTCGGGTGATGTCAGCCCCGCCCCGCCCCCCGCAGGAGCACTGTGGCCTAATATGGGAACACAGCAGCGCTGGGAGCCGGGACCGACTGGGGGGGTGGGGAGGGGACCGCGGGCAGCTGGCAGGGGGGAGGGGGGTGAGAGGACGCAGGTCAGGATGGCCAGGCCCCCCCCTCCCCGCTGCCCTGCACCTTCCCGCCTGTCCCCCACTGGCCTCACTGTCCAGAAACATGGCCGTCCCCGGGCCGCAGGCGACCCCCAACCTCACACAGTGCTCAGGGCACCGTCAAACGCCACCCGGCCCAGGCGGTGTGTGGGGAGAACCAGCTCTCTGTGGTCCCGGCCCAGGACGGGCTGCTCCCCTGGCCCCCGGTTTCAGCTGTGGGACGAGGACAGTCCAGTGCGTGTTTCCCCACCCCCCCCCCAACACCCTTAACCCCCTGCAGCCCAGACCCAGCTGTGGGGGCCAGGGGTTGCTTTTCCCAACAGCTGCGGGGCTGGTCGGAGGCAAATGTGGGGCTCCGGCATTTCCCGGCGACGGACCCGGCAGGGCCTCTGGGGAGCCCCAACAGAGAGGGGTTCAGAGGGACAGCAGCCCCCAGTGCACAGGAGAATGTTCTCCTCAGTGGGTGGCGCTTTATCTGGTCCCTCGAAGAAGGCAGATTTCAGGGGGACAACCGGGCCGGGTTGCCCTGAGAGACAGACAGCTGGACGGAGGGGGGACAGGAAGTGTAGCCTCCGAAGTGAGCAGAGCTGGGGGTGCAGCCGGGAGACGGGGAGACGGTCCAGGAGTGCAAAGAGAGCGAGGGACAGGCGAGTCAGGGGCTCAGATCCACACTCACCCCAGAGGGGGGCCCTGGGTGATACACAGAGGAAACAGACGCAGAGCCAGGGCGTATGAGTGTGTGAGAGAGACAGGCAGAACTGTGTGTGTGTGTGTGTGTGTGAGAGACAGACAGAACCTCTGTGTGTGTGCGCGTGTGTGTGTATGTGTGTATGACAGGCAGGCAGAACCAGTGTGTGTGTGTGTGAGAGAGAGAGAGAGAAAGAGAAAGAGAGACAGACAGACAGAACCTGTGTGTGTGTGAGAGAGACAGGCAGAACCAGTGTGTGTGTGTGTGTGTGTGTGTGAGTGTGTGAGAGAGACACAGACAGAACCTGTGTGCATATGAGAGACAGACAGAACCTCTGTGTGTTTGTGTGTGTGTGAGAGAGAGAGAGACAGAACCTATGTGTGTGTGTGAGAGACAGGCAGAACCAGTGTGTGTGCGTGTGTGAGAAAGAGACAGAACCTGTGTGTGTGTGTGTGTGTGTGTGTGTGTGACAGACAGGCAGAACCAGCGTGTGTGTGAGAGAGACAGAACTTGTGTGTGTGTGTGTGCGTGCATGAATGCACGTGTGTGTGTGTGTGTGTGTGACAGACAGGCAGAACCAGCGTGTGTGTGAGAGAGACAGAACTTGTGTGTGTGTGTGTGTGTGCATGAATGCACGTGTGTGTGTGTGTGTGTGTGTGTGATGGGGCGACCATGAGAAAGTCCTTGTGACAAGTGAGATGTGGGGATGAGAAGTCATGGAGTCACAGAGAACGGGAAGAAGCAGAAAGCAATAAACCGAGGTAGTCGGGCCGTGGATCGCTGAGGGGTCCCTACGCCAGGACAGATCCACAGGGAACAAGGGAGCCACAGTGAGAGCTGCAGGAACTGCGTCCAGGATACCCTCATTTGGGACCCCCACCGGGGGGTTTCTGGCTGGCTCCAGTGTCTGTGGCCCTCACCAGGCCCTCCGTGGTCCCAAGCGGTGGGCAGGTGGCTAGGAGCAGACTTTGGGGTGCCGGACGGCCTGCTCCCCGCCCTGGGGTCAGGTCTGCTGGAGTAACTGGCCGGATCACTCCAGGGACGGGGACACAGGGTCTAGCCCTCCACCCAGAGGGAGCGAGGGGTCTGCCTGAAGCCGGGGCTCCCCATGGACTCCGCCCTCTATGGGGGCTGGGAGAACACAGTTGAGGTAGGGCCCCCCCCATCCTCATCTCTGCACCAGCCCCCACTGGGAGAACAACGAGAGCCCCGAGATGCCTGGTGCCGGCCCCCCAAGACACGTTTCCTGTGGGGGGGAGCAGGGCTTCACCCCCAAGTCCACCCTGACGTCCCAGGCCTGTGAGTGAGCCCGGCCAATCCGGGCGGGCGGAGGGAGCCCCTCAGCCCCCCTGCAGGCCAGCTGTTCCCCAGCTGTGGGCCCCTCCCCCCAGTGGCTGCAATCGCTCGGGCTTGGTGGAGAAGGCGCCCCTCCCTGCGCTAGCCGAGGAGCCCTGAGGGACCCTGTCCCCCAGCTGCTCCCCCCCAGGCTGGGGTGCACCCCCTTTCTGGAGCAGCGTCGGGGGCCTTTCAGGAGGAAACAATTTGCTGAGCCCGCTGGGAGGGAGGTGGGGGGGTCTCCCTCGCTCCCGCTTATTAATGTGCTTCCAATTTGGGAATGGAGGCTCCTCCCTCCCACCCCTGACAGGGGCTCAGGCTTCTGCGGGAGCGGAGGGGGAGGGGCCACTCCTTCTTCCCCACACTCGCCCTCCCCGTCACTGTCCCCCACAGGACGGGGAGGGGGCCCCACAGCTCCCCGAGACAGAAGGGGCCCAGGACGCCCCTTTGTCCTCGCTCGCCAGCTGGTCCCCCTTGGGCCAGGGGACCTGGGGATCCAGGGCAGGCCGGGGCGCCCCGTGGTCATAGGTTACTGTCCAGATGTTGTGGGGTTCCTGGGTTCCGGGGTCCCCTCGGGACTGCCACCATCTGCCACCCCTCTCCCCCGTCACCCACTTTCTTCTCTCACAGCTGCATCCTGCACCCTCCCTGTGGCTGTTGCATCGGGGATGTGTAGGGGGTGTCGGGAATGAGCCCGACACACGAGGCCTGTGTCTGACCACCCAGCCACACAGCCCTGGCCCCCTGGGCCCCTGGGACTGTGACAAAACAGCCACGGACCCGGCCGGACTCCCTCTCGGAGGCGTGTCACGGGGAGGCCATAATTCCTTCTTTGTTTCAAACAATTCTCTGCTCGAGGCCCTCCGAGTCACGGGGGTCACAGGTCCCCCCCCCCCCGCCACGTGGGTCACCCACAGTAACGCACACCACGTCTGGGAGAGCCCTGAAGGCGGTCACCGCGCGGTCCTCCCGGAGAGTGGCCACCCCCAGGAGCGTCTCGGGCATACCCCAAGGTTCCCCCTAGCTGCCTCAGCGCCCAGGCTGGCCGTCATCACAGCAGTTTCTGGGGACACATGTCCCATTGTTCCCTGGCTCTCCCATGGGGGGGATGTCCACATGTCATCATGCGGGGGCCATCCATGTTGTCCTGGGTTCCTCACGCACCGGGACAAGTCCCTGGGCATCACCCACGCATGCCTGTCACCAGTGGCCATCACACTGGCAGATGCGGTCACAGATGCCGCCGTGGCCAAGCCGCTTCTTTCATCCACACGCTCAGCGACGGTCCCTTTTCGTCCGTCTGTCCACCCGTCTCTCTCACACTCGGCACGTCGACCTGCCTGCAGCCGCACAAAGAAGACGCCGACCCGCCCCGTGTCCCCGGCACCCGCAAGGCCAGTCACCAGTCAGAGACAAGCCATCGCGCACTCAGTGTCACCCCGGGTTTCTCTCCCGGCCCCCGACGGACTGACGGGCGGGCTCCCGGGCAGGCACACGCAAACTGGTTCTGCCCGGTTCTCTCTCACACACGCCCCTCGCCCCCAGGCGCGCCCACACGGCCTGGCCCACTCCGGCCTCTTGCACGCAGAGTCACGCTCCGGCTTCCCTCTATCACTTCCTGTCCCGTCGGGCCTGGCAGGGAGCACAGGAAACAATCAGCACTCGAGGAAACGCAGGGGCTGGGGCGGTGGGGCGCAGGCCAGGACACCCTCGCGCCGCCCGGCCGGGGCCCCGGGCACCCTCAGGCGGGCACGCAGGGAGGGGGTGGGGGTGCCCCTCCTCGGCGGGTCACCAGGACCCAGGGCCGGATGCTGGCCTCCAGCTCTGACCAGAGATGCTCCCCAGAAGCAGAGACCTGGGACCTCCAGGCCGCCCCTCGAAGGCGACAGCTTGCCCACCCCAGACGGGGAAGGAGGCCGTGACCCGTGACCCCTGCCCCCTCTTGGTGCTTCAACAGAAACCGCTCAGGGGCAGGCCGCCCCCTTCCTGAGGAGGCAGGGCTGAGAGCTGGCCCTGCTGTCGTCCACAGGGGCCCCCAGGGGCTCTGAGAGCTTCCAAGTGGCCTCCGAGCACTGTTCTCCGGGTCCAGCCTGCCTGAGCCCACCTGGGCACCTCATCTTCTCAGGGCAGGCCTCCCCACCCCCAACCCCACCTGCCCTCACGGCACCTGCTGCCTGCTCGCCTTGGGACCCTCCTCTGCAGAACGGCCACCTCCTGTCTGGTCTGCCTCAGACCGTTCACTCCCCACGGTCTGACCACCCCAGGAAGCCCACCGCCCTCTCCCGTCCTGACCACATCCAGGCTCCAGGACAGAGGGAAGACGGCTGACAGGGGAACCAGAGGCCTGGGAAGCCGCTTATGACAAATGGGGAAACTGAGGCCCCAGGGGACTCTCCAGCAGTGACCAGGGCCCAGTGGAGGGAGAAGCACATGTTGAGTGGTTCTAACGCTGCTGCCGAGAGAGATGTCTCCTTCTGGCTTGAACATTTCCTCAGCTGGCGAAACAGGCCAGAGGCTGCATCCGTGATTACACATAAACACACACACACATGCGCACACATATACAACCCCTCTGTGTGCATCCCACACGCCACACACATGTGCCCATGCATGCACAGACATCACGTGTGTGTGAGCACACATATGTACCTACACACCCCTCTCTCCTGACAACCCCTGACCAGCCCCAGCCCCATGTGCTAATTAGCCTTCATTACTGCTCCCTCCTAGGGGTGGGGGTTGGAGAAGGCCCTAGAGGCTGAGCCTCCCGGCCTCGAGAGCCCTGAGGTCATCCTCAGCCCCGCACCCAGGGAGGAGAAGCCCACAGAACCGCATCCCGCAAGGGGCCCCCTCGTTGGGGGGCGGGGGGGGGGAAGCCTGGGAAAGGGGGCGACCAGGATGTGGCGGGAGACGGGCCTCCGCCATGGGGGCCTCTGGCCGGCCCTCCTTGCCCGGGGGCTGCCGCGAACATTCCAGCCCAGACCGTGTCCAGGCCCCCTGCCCCAGGGAGGGACATGCCTGCACAGCGCCAGGTCACAGGAGGCCGACTCCGGGCCCCGTGGGCACCGGCCCCTCGGCCTGTGTCCACCCCACCCCCTCCCCTGCTCTCCAGGGCGGCAAGTCCAGGCCTGACCCGGCTCTTCCTCTACCTGGAGAGGGAAGCCGGAGGAAAGTGGCCCCCAAGGCCCTCTGCCCCTGTCCAGGGGCGGCCGGGACCAGGGCCCCTTCTCGGGGAGGGGCGGCACGGTGGGGTCTCAGGGGCCCGCCGGGTGTGGGGTGGCCAAGCCTCCCTCTGACCCTCCAAAGCCTGGAACAGGGCTCTGAGCCGGTGACAGAGGACAAGGCCCCAACTCCGGCCCCTCTGGAGCCGGGCTCTGAGCTCCGGGCAGGACCTGGGGCCTGGCGGGCTCTCCGGGGTGGGGGTTCACGCCCCGGGGTGGGGGCGGGGCGCCCGGCTCGGCCCCCTCCCCAGTCCCCAGCCCGCCGCGCAGCCGGGCGCCGTGGCTTGGCGGGCCCCGCGCGGGCCGGGCCGGGCCGGGCCGGGCGCCGGGAGGCCGGGCCGAGGCCTGCGTGGAGCCGGGGCGAGCCGGGGCCCGGAGAGTCCAAAGTGCGGCGGGGCCCGGGCCGGGGCGCCCGGGGTCCGAGCTCCCCGCGGCGGCGGCGTCGGTGCGCGGGGGGCCCCCGCCGCGTCCAGCCCGGACACCCGGAGTGTCCCCGGCCTCCCCGACCGGCGCGGCCCGATCGCGGGGCGGCCAGTCCGGGGTTGGGGGGGTGGGGGTGCGCGTGGGATGGGCGGGGCTTCCCGGAGAGCGTGCCCCCCTTCCCTGCAAACTTCCCGGCACCCAGACCCGGGGCGCGCGCCGGACAATAGCGGCCCCCCCGCCCCGCGCCACCCCCGGTCCCCTGTCCTGACCCCGCGCGCGTCCGCCCGCCCGGCTTACCTGGTCCGAGCTCGGGGGGGCGCTCCGGCCGGGCCGCTCCGCCGGGCCCGAGGGAGCCGAGCGAGGGGGGCCGGGGAAGGGGGGGTCGTGGGGAGGGGACGGGCCGGAATGCGCGGAATGAGCCGGGCCGGAGCGGGAGGCGCCGCGCGCGGAGGAGGGAGCGAGCGGGACGGAAAGTTTGTGTGGAGCGGCCGGGGCGGGTGGGGGCTGCGGGGCCGGCGGGGCGGGGCGCCCCGGGGGGCGGGCACCGGCGGGGGGGCGGGGCCGCGCGGGGACCCCGGGAGGCGCGGCCGTGCCGGGCGCCCCCTGCGCGCCGCGCCCGGCCCCCGCCCGCCCGCCGGCCCGGCGGGGCGGCGCGGCGCGGGGCGGGGGCGCCGTCGGGGCGCGGCGCGGGGCGGCGGCTCGGGCTTCCCCGGCCCCCCACCCCCCCCATCAGCACTGCCCCCCGCCCCGCGCGCCCCCGGTCCGGGTCTCGGCGCCCCCCCCCGCTCGCGGGGGCCCCGGGCCGCGGCCCCGCCCCGGCGCAGCGCCCGCCCTGCCCGAACCCGGTTTGTCTGGTTCTCCGAGAGGCTCGTTTCTCGAATTTCTTCTCCCTGGGCCCCCCCTCTTCCCGGACCTCCGGGGCGCTCCCTCCCGGCCCGGCTCCCCCCCACACCCCGCGGGGCGGGGGGCGTCTGGACACTTGCGAGCCCCTCCCCGAGTTTCGGTAGGACCCGCGAGGGGCGCGCGGGACGGGCCGGGGCGGCGGCGCGCGGGGCTCGGGGAGCGCCCTGGGCCGCGCTAGGAACCACGCGCTGCGCTCGGCCTGCCGGAGGACGCGGCTTTATTGGGCGCGGGGGTCCCCCGGCCCCCCGAGGGGGTTAAACCGACCCCGGCTACCGCGCCCCGACAGGAAGTGGCGGGGGCGCGGGGAGGGCGGGGACCAGATGTGCGGCTCGGGCTCCAGATGTTCCTCATCGCCCGTCCCGGGCCCCGGCGCGGCTCCGCCCCTGCCGCGGGAGAGGGAACGGAGGAGGGCACCCCGAGACCGGGGGCGTGGGCACCCCGAGGCCCGCCGCCGCCGCCGGGGTGGGGAGCGCGCGGACACGTCTCCGGGCGGGCTGGAGCGCTTGGGTGCCGCCGTCCCTGGGTCCGCGTCTCGCGCGCGCCGGGCGTGGTGGGGGGGCGGGGCGGGGCGCCGCCGGGGGTCACTCGCAGGCCAGCTTCCCGTCGAAGCTGGACAGGGCGATGGCGAAGGCCTGCAGCGCGCACAGCGGGTAGCGGTAGTCCAGGGTGAAGGCGTCCTCCGCCACGCGGCCGAACTGCAGCACGATGTAGTCGGCTGCGGGCACAGACGGGGCGCACGCACGGAGTGGGGGGCCTGGGCCGGCACGCGGCACCCGGCCCCTGGGGGGGGGGAGACCCCCGTCCTTGGAAGCCGGGTGTCATGCCTCCACCACCATCTGTGACTTACCCCGTCCCCGAGGCCCCCCAACTGCCCCGGACCTACCCCCGGGCATCTCCATCTGCAAGCTCCGGGGCGCAGAGACCCCGCCTTTCCGCCCCGCTGGCCCCCTGCAGCTATGCAGCACAGCCGCGCCAGTTTAGGGACCTGCCCGGCGCCCCCAGGTCTCTAACCTGCCCTCCCGCCGCCCCCTGGCGCCCAGCTTCCTCCCTGGAGCGCCCCCCCCACCGCCCCCAGTTGGTTGTCTTCCTCGTGCGCGCGCGCAGGGGCGTCCCCTCCGCACGCGCCCCTTAGCTGGCCCCGGTGCCCTGCCCCGCTCCCACACCGCCCGCAGCATCCAGAGGGACCGGTAGTTGCTAAAAAGACGGCTCAGCGGACCACCAGACCCGCGAGCTGCCGCGGTTTCCCCAGGTCACCGCATAGGTGACAAGGGGGACGCAGTTCAAGGTGTGGTGGGGGATGGGAACTTGGCCCGGCTGCGGCTTTGGGAGCTCCCTTTCCATGCCCCGCTTTTTCACCCTGGTGGGCACCTCTCCCCCAGCGTGCCCTGTTTATACGTCATTGGGATGTTGATCCGCCTTGCTCCCCTGACCTATGGGGGCCAGGATGTTCGCTTGGCCTGAAGAGGAGACAGTAGACCAGACGCCTGGCTCTGGATGCCTGAACCGGAGCCCCTGATCCTACAGGCCGGCCATGCTGAAGGGGTTGGGACGCTTCCTGCCCCCGGATCCTGGCTCTGTCCTCACTAGCTGTGTGACCTGGGGAAATTCATGTAACCTCTCTGTGCCTCTGTTGTTTCATTGGCTAAATAGAGACAGTCACCGCCCCTTTCCAACAGGATTGTCCTAACGATTTAGTGATGGAAAGCTGTAGAGTTGGGTGAATAGCGTCTGGCACACACACACCAAAAAAACACCAGGGTAAGTGTGAAAGAGTTTGGAGAACAGAGTCACTGCTGGAAGCGGCTGAGAAGCCCTGGCTAAGGGGTGGCCTCTGAGCCTGTTCGCTCTCTCTGGCTAACTCGAGGAAGGGCTGCCAGGGGCTTACACACGTGGCTGCCATGGGAGGCTTATCCAGGACCCCTGCTTGGAACGGCCTGGAAGCGAGTGACCTGCTGGCAGGGATGTTGCCCCTCCACGAAGAAAGGACAGTTCCAGGCAATGTGTGTGTGTGTGTGTGTGTGTGTGTGTGCGCGTGCGCGCATGTGTGTATGCTTGTATGCACGTGTACATTTATCCACATGTGCATATGAGTGTGCGTGTCCGCATTTGTGCGTGTGATTGCACATACGTGCATGCGTGTGCATGTGTGTACATGTACATGAGTGTGTGTGCGTGCATTAGTTCATGTGTACATGCCTGTGCATGCCCATGTCGTGTTTGTACGTGTGCATGCATTGTGCTTGTGTGAGTGAATGCACGAGCATGCATGTGTGTGTCTGTGAGTGCCTGCATGGATGGGCATGTGTGCATGTGTGTGAGAGAGAGGTGGGCGGGGAGAGGTGGTGGTGGGGGTGCGAGAGAGGGTCCCGTTCCTGAGGGTGGTGAGGGGTGGCCCCCGTGGCCCTCAGACACTCACGGTTGTCCGCGTGGATGATCTGGAAGTTCTTGACGGAGGCCTGGGTGACGCGGCCCTGGAAGTTGAGAGTGTAGGAGCCGCTGTCGTCGTTCCAGACGGGCGGCTTGTTGTGCAGCTCGATGAGGCTCTCCAGCGTCTTGTTCTGCCAGCGCACCAGCAGCCCGTCACTGGCCTGCAGAGAGGCGGGCGGTCAGGGGGCTGGAGAAAGCTCTGGGTATGGGGGGTGGAGAGGGGACCCGCGGGTGAGTGGAGGTGGCTGCGAGGGGGCGTGTGTGTTCCCTGAGAGCTCCCTGGCCTGCGGGGTGAGGTGAGGACCAGGCTTTGCCGTACAGTGTGTAGGGAGCATGTGTGGGCACGCAGTGGGACTCTGCGACCTGGGAGCCCTTGGCACAGCCGCTTGTTGGCCTGCGGAGATAAGGGGGCAACAGGCACATGCAGGTATCTGGGCCTGGGGAGATGCACAGTGAACCCTGAACTGTCCCAAAGCGTTTCTGGAGAAGCCCTTAGTGTCTGCGGGAGCTTTTTCTCTTTCCTGATCACCTGTTCACATTCGTGATGGAGCATACGGTCACCTCCTTCAGGAAGGCGGCCTGACTCTGCATCTGACCGAGGTATTGATTGAGCCCTGAGCTCCCACGACACGTTGCTCTCCCCAATTCTCCCACAATGGACAGAATTAGATCCTCTAAGGGCGGGAGCAGTGTTTTATGCACGCCCTTGCCTTGGTTTCCCTCACAACAGGGTGCTCCGAGGAACAAATTTGTGGACACATTCTTTCGATTGATTAGTTCCCAGCGCAGACTGAGATGATCAATAAATGCCAGTGCTGGATGTTGATCTCGGAACTGCAGTGCCTTCCCTTATGTGTTCATCTGGTTTGCTTTTTGGGGTCACACCTGGTGATGCTCGGGGGTAACTTTTGGCTCTACACTCAGGAATCACTCCTGGTGGTGCTCGAGGGACCATATGGGATGCCGGGGATGGAGCCCCGGCCCCCCGACATGCCAAGCTTGCACTCTGGCCCAGTGAAGGCTGTTTTCTGATCCCCGGTGTCCTGCGTTAATACGTGATTGTCGATGGAACGAATCAGGAGGCGACAGAGGTGCCGAGTGGCTGCGGTGGCTTCTTCCTACACCCAGAGGCACTGCCAGGCCAGGGTTTGTGTGTTTCTCTGTGGCGGGTGTTCCGCAGCTTGGCAGAACCCCTGAGCCCAGCAGAGCTCCCCAGCAGGCCAGGAGGTGCCATCAGCTGACACGGGTGTTGTTTTTCACTGCACACAAGTCCGGTAACATCACAGAAGCACAAGGCATGCCGGTTATCTGCCTCTGGTCTCAGACATCTGCTGTGGTATGGGTCAGATCGCAGGACCGGTTTCTTTTTCCCCTCAGGTTTTTCTTTTTTCTTTTTGGGTCACACCTGGCGATGCACAGCAATTAATCCTGGCTCTGTACTCAGGAATTTCTCCTGGTGGTGCTCAGGGGACCATATGGGATGCTGGGAATCGAACCCAGCTCAGCTGCATGCAAGGCAAATGCCCTACCCGCTGTGCTATTGCTCCAGCCCCTTTTCCTCAGGTTTTGAGCCACACTTGGCTGTGTTATGGGGTTACTCCTGGCTCTGCACTCAGGAACTATTCCTGTCAGTGCCCAGGGGGCCACAGGAGACGCTGGGGGTCAAAACCAGGTTGGCCACGTGCAAGGCAGATGCCCTCCCTGCTCAAGTGATGCTCTGGCCCAGGATTGGGTCTGGTTTTCTTGTTTGTTTTTTTGGGTCACAACCAGTGGGTGATGCTCAGGAGTTACTCCTAGCTCTGTGCTCAGGAATCACTCCTGGTGGTGCTCAGGGGACCATAGGGGATGCTGGGGATCGAACACGGGGCAGCCCCGGGCCAGACAAACACCTTACCTCTGTACATCCACTACGGCCTAGTTCTCCCTAGGAAATCACTCCCATTTACCACCAACACTCCCCTCACACACACATACACGCACTCACACTCACACACATTTGCACATACATTCACACACACAAACTCACACATTCACTCACACACTCATCGACCCCACACTCATACATTTACACTCACACTCACACTCACATACACTCCCACTCACATTCACACTCACACACATTCACACACTCACATATTCACACATTCACACACACTCATCCACTCATCCACACTCACACATATACTCAAACACACATGTACACACTCTCACACACACACTCACACAGATACTAGGAACCTTTCTTTTTTTAAGGTCTAGGTTAAATCCCGTGCCTCCTCTGCTCAGAGCCCGTCCATGGCTTCCTGCTTCTCTCTGAGTGAGAACCAGTCGTGCAGGCCCTGTCTGCCTCTCACTGTCACCTCTGATCTCTTATCCTCCAGCCGGTGCAGGCCGGCTCTGCAGACCCACTGCTCTCCCTCCTGCCCCCGGGCCTTGGGACCGGCTCTCCCCTCTGCCCTGATGCTCTTGCCCCAGAGAGCTGCATAGCTGCAGGCTCCCTTTCACCTCCAATAGGCTTCAGATTTCACCTCAGCACTGAGGCCCACTCTAACTGCTGCGATGAATGTGTGCGTGCGAGCGTGCGTGAGCGCGCGTGCACACACACACACACACACACACACACACACGAGACGGTACAGCAGGAGGACGCTGGCCTTGCACACAGCCATCCCGGGGTCAGCCCCAGGACCCCACACGGCCCCCCAAGACCTGCCAGGGGTGACCCCTGAGCAGTGCCGCAGGCTGTGGGTCCCAACCCCCACCAACAGCCTGAAGTTCCTTCTAAGACTTGTTTCTTTCGTCCTTTCCCATAGCCTGTCCACTCCTGCTCCCCTTGGCAGCCGGAGTCCAGTGCCTTCCTGTGAAGCCTGTGTTCCACCACACCCCGACCCTGCTGCCCCACTTACTGTGGAGGTTACTCTTGGGGCACCCCCCCCCAAAGATAAAAAAAAGTGCTTAGGGATCACTCCTGGAGGTGCTTGGGGGACCTTATGCAGTGCTGGGGATCAAACCAGGGTCAGCCCCGTGGGAAGCCTTCATCCCTGGAACTGTCTCTGCAGCCCAGCTTTGCTTATTTGTCACAGTGACCCCCTAGTGTCTGTTGATTCCTCCCAGGAAACCCGCTGTGGGGGGTCGGGGTGGGGACTCAGATATGTGTTCTGGTGCACGTGACCCTCACTCAGTACGTGAGGAATGAATATATGAATGGATGATTTGATGTAGCATTGTCCACTATCTCACTGTCTTCCCGTCGTTCATTAATTTGCTCGAGCGGACACCAGTAACGTCTCAATTGTGAGACTTGTGGTGACTGTGTTTGGCGTATTGAATACATCACAGGGAGCTTGCCAGGCTTTGCTATGCGAGTGGGATACTCTCGGTAGCTTGCTGGGCTCTCTGAGAGGGGCGGAGGAATCGAACCTGGGCTGACCGGATCGGCCACGTGCAAGGCAAACGCCCTACCGGCTGTGCTAAAAATACTTCTTAAGAAACCTCCAAAGAGGGGCTGGAGCAGAAGGCAGGGTGCTTGCTTTGCATGTGGCCCACTTGGGTTCAATCCCTGGCATCCCCATCTGGTCCCCTGAGTCCTGCCTGGAGTGATCCTTGAGCACAGAGTCAGGAGTGAGGCCTGAAAATCACCGGGTGAGGCCCAAGAACCAAACCAAATGAAAACAAACAAACAAGAATTCCAACAGAGGGCTGGGGAGATAGCACAGTGGGTAAGGTGCTTGCCTTGCATATTGTCACCTGGGTTCCGTCCCCAGCACTATAAGGTCCCCTGAACCCTGTCAGAAGTGAGCCCTGAGCAATACCAGGTGTGACCAAAAACCCAAACAAAACAAAGCATCCAAAGAACAACAGCAACCAAACCCCAAACCCAAAACGTTTTGGTTTCCATGAATTCAGTGTCACCCAGCCCAGCTCCTTTCAGTCTGTCAGAATGACTCGGCAACCCAGCAGGGCTGAGACACCCCCCCCCCCCCCCGCCGGGGTAATGAGGGAGCCGGGGGAGGGAGGGGTGGGGCTCACATTCCGGGGGCGGATGGGGACCCTCTCATTGTCTGCGTTCATGCCGGGGATGATGATGGTCATGCGACGGGGACCCCGGAAGCCCAGCACGTTGGTTTCCTGGGAGGGAAAGAACAGTGAGGGAGTATTCTAGGCCAGGGGACAGGTGAGGTGCAGGGGGACAGGTGGGTGTGAAGACAGGTGGGTGAAGAGGTCAGGTGGGTGCAGGGTTGGTGTGTGCAGGGAGACAAGTGGGTGCAGGGTCAGGTGGGTGCAGAGGCCAGGTGGGTGAGAGGTCAGGTAGGTGCAGGGTCAGGTGGGTGCAGGGTCAGGTGGGTGCAGAGATCAGGTAGGTGCAGGGTCAGGGGTTGCGGGGTCAGGGGGTGCAGGGTCAAGGGGGTGTAGGGTCAGGTGGGCGCAGGGTCAAGGGGGTGCAGAGGTCAGCAGGTGAAGGATCAGTGGGTGCGGGGGGACAGGTGGGTGCAGGGTCAGGTGGGTGCAGAGGTCAGATGGGTGCAGGATCGGTGGGTTCAGGTACGGGGTGGCAGGGTTAGTGGGTGCGGGGTGAGGTGGGTGCAGGGTTGGTGGGTGCGGGGCCGGGGATGCTCACGTAGATCACGGCGGCCAGCTCCTGCCTCAGGCTCCCCACGTTGGCGCCGCTGGTCCTGCGGTGCGGGCTCTGCCCGCTGTCAAAGACAGTGAAGCGGTTCCCCAGGAGGTTGGACCTGCACACAGTGGGGGTGAGGGGCTGGGGGCGCCTCTCCCCTGCCAAACCCTGCCCTGCAGAGCAGTCTGATGAGCGGGTGAGCGATCCTGAGAACGGCCCATGCTATTTTTCCAATTTATTTTGTGTTTTTATACATTATGGTTTGGGGGTGACACATGGCGGTGCTCAGGTGTGACTTAGGGGACCGACCACTCCTGGAGGGGCTTGGGGGACCAGGTGGGGTACCAGGGATTGAACCCAGGTCAGGTTTGTGCAAGGCAAGTGCCCTACCCGCTGGGCCCTTCAGAGTTTTTTTTTCTTTTTTCTTTTTTTTGGGTCACACCTGGCAATGCACAGGGGTTACTCCTGGCTCTGCACTCAGGAATTATTCCTGGCAGTGCTCCGGGGACCAGATGGGATGCTGGGAATCGAACCCAGGTTGGCCACGTGCAAGGCAAATGCCCTACCCGCTGTGCTATCTCTCCAGCCCCCCCAGAGTTCTGTTTTTTTTTTTTTTAAAGCTGAATCGAGGGGCCAGAGCAATAGTACAGCAGGGAGGGCACTTGCCTTGCTCACGGCAGACCCGGGTTCGATCCTCAGCACCCCCTATGCTCCCCTGGGCACTGCCAGGAGTGGTTCCTGGGTGCAGAGCCAGCAGTTAGCCCTGAGCACAAGCAGACGTGGCGCAAAAACTGGGAGGGGGGACAAGGAGGGGGGATGTAAAAGCTGGATGGACGGGCTGGAAGGACAACTCAGTGGTCGGCTGTAGGCTGACCAGCGTGAGGCCTGGCTCCATCACTGCTACCTCCTGGTCCTCCAGGGACCCCCTCGAACACTACCAGGTGTGGCCCCAAATGAAGGAGCTGGACGCCCGGCTGCAGTACTCAGTGGGAGGCTCAACCCCGCTGCCTCCTGGTCGCCCACCCACCAGCTGTGGGCTCAATAGTAGAACCAAAGAAACTAATAAACGGGGCCTAGAGTGTCCCCCGGCTCCAACCCCAGCATGCCACGTGCCTCCCTAAGCACCGCCAGGGCTCACAGCTGAGCACAGAGCTGGGAGTCGACTCTGAGGACTGCTCAGTGGGTGGGGCTGATGATGATGGCGATGCTGGGTCTAGAAGGAGATATTGGGCAGCGTGCAACTCACGGCTTCTCCTTGCTGTGTGACTCCTGGCAAATTACTTAAACTCTCTGAGCCTCAACAATCTTATCTGTAAAGTGTGCACATTGTTATTATCTCAGTTGGTTGACAAAAGGATCACCTAGGTAAATATTTGGACTTCATTTAAAACTATGTCTGATACAGAGGATAGCTTTATACTATTTGTTGAATAAATAAGATACGTTTTTTGGTTTGTTTTTGGGCCACACCCAGCGGTGCTCAGGGCTTACTCCCGGCTCTGTGCTCAGGGATCATTCCTGGTGGGAGTTGGGGGACCATATGGGATGATGGGAATTGAACCCAGGTCAGCCATGTGCAATGCAAGCACCCTCCCTGCTGTGCTATCTCTTGGTCCCTAAAATAAATTTTAAGAGAGAAGGTCTGACTCAGCTTCAGTTCCTTGCTCTCAGATTTGTCGTGAGGATTGGATGTGTGTGTGTGTGTGTGTGTGTGTGTGTGTGTGTGTGTGTGTGTAGACAGATGTCTAAGAGATGTTCATTCACTTCATAAATATTTATTTAGCAGCTACTATGTGCCAGGGGCTAGGAATTCAACCCTGGACAAGACAGGCACAGCCCCTGACCTCAGAGAACTCAGGCTCTGTTCCACAGAGGGACCAGCCGTCTGTGAATCAGCAGGTGTCCACTCTCCCGGGCCCGGCTCAGCACTTGCCTTACATGTTTGATGCCCTGGGTTCAATCCCCAGCACAGAATGAAGGGAAGGAGGGAGAGACAGAGGGACAGAGGGCAGGAAGGAGGGAGGGAGAGAGGGAAGAAAGGCGGGAGGGAGGCAGGGGAGGAGGAAGGAGGGAGGGGATGAAGGAAGAGTCAGCTCAAAGGGCTGAGAGATGCTTTGTATGCACGAGCCCTGGGTTTGCTCCTTGACACTGCATAGTCCCCCAGCTCTGCCAGGAGTGACCCCCTCCCCTGATTACTGAACCCTGAGCAGTGCTGGGCGTGGCCCCCGAAAGAAAGAAGGGAGGAAAGAAGGAAGGAAAAATGAAAAGAAGAGGGGCTGGAGCGATAGCACAGCAAGTAGGGCGTTTGCCTTGCACGCACACGACCCGGGTTCAATTCCCAGCATCCCATATGGTCCCCCGAGCACCGCCAGGAGTAATTCCTGAGTGCAGAGCCAGGTTACATCCCTGTGCATTGCTGGGTGTGGCCCCAAAAGAAAAAATGGAAAGAAGAAAGAAAGGAAGAAAAGAAAGGAGGATGGAGGGGGAAAAGGAAAGAAAAGAGGGAAGGAGGGAGGGTGGAAGGAAGGAAACAAGGAAGAAGGAGGCAAGGAAGGAAGGGAGGGAGGGAGGGAAGGAAGGAAGGAAGGAAGGAAGGAAGGGAGGGAGGGAGGAAGAAAGGAAGGGAGGGAGGGAGGAAGGAAGGAAAGAAGGAAGGAAGGAAGGAAGCAGGAAGGAAGGGAAGGAGGGAGGGAAGAACGGAAGGAGGGAAGGGAGAAAGGGAGGGAGGGAAGGACGCAAGGAAGGAAGGGAGGACCCAGTGAGGCATTTTAACAAGCCCCAGGTGAGCAGGGGATGGCGTGCAAGCGCGACCTCAGCTTCCCGACGAAGTCCTCCCCTCCGCGGGACAGGTTGGTGGGGTCCCTGGAGATGAGGTAGTTGGCTGTCTTGCTCCGTTTGCGTTTCCTGCCAGCCAAGAGGAACACCTGGAGAGGGGCAGCGGGGGTGGCGTGAGGGGGCTCCTGCTGTGACGTCCTCCCGCCCCCCCTCGGCCCGGGTCCCGCTCCCACCTTCCTCTCCGAGTCCAGGTGCAGAAAGTAGGAGGGGTACAGGCCGCGGTCCATGCCCTTCTTGTCCCGGGTCAGGCGGCAGCGCACAGTCCGGCCCTGGGGCGCGGGTCGCAGCACGAACTCCCGGGGCTCATCCACTTCCAGGGGCGGGGACGGGGGCCTGTCCTCCTTCTGCGGGGGGCACAGGGTGCGTGGGCCAGAGCAGCAGCTCCCCTGCCCCCTGGGTCCGGCTGGGCAGGCCACAACTCACCGCCTTCTGGGAAGGAGAGGGGGCAGGGGTGAGGACGGGCGGGCGCTGGGAGTTTTGCCCGTTATTGCAATTTGGTTTAGCCTGGAGTGGAGCGTCCAGGATACCTAGGGGTCAATCCTGTCTCACTGCCAGGATGTTCTTGCTGGTGCTCGGGCTGCCCCGAGATGCCAGGGCTCGAATCCAGAGCCTCACGTGCCGAAGTTTGTACCCGAGTCACACCCCGACATGCATTTACATTTCCAGCTCACTGGGACCCGATTTTTTCCAATCTGAGGGATAGGGACAGTCAAGGTGGGGATCGGAGTCACTTTAATCTAAGTGTTTAACAGAAACTGCTGAGGGCCCCAAGGTGCTGGCTAGAGTTCTTAGATCTCCTTCCTTCCTTCCTTCCTTCCTTCCTCCTTCCTCCCTCCCTTCCTTCCTCCTTCCTCCCTCCCTTCCTTCCTCCTTCCTCCCTCCCTTCCTTCCTCCTTCCTCCCTCCCTTCCTTCCTCCTTCCTCCCTCCCTTCCTTCCTCCTTCCTCCCTCCCTTCCTCCCTCCCTTCCTTCCTTCCTTCCTCCTTCCTCCCTCCCTCCCTTCCTCCTTCCTCCCTCCCTTCCTTCCTCCTTCCTCCCTCCCTTCCTCTCTCCCTTCCTTCCTTCCTTCCTTCCTTCCTCCTTCCTCCCTCCCTCCCTTCCTCCTTCCTCCCTCCCTCCCTTCCCTCTCTCCCTTCCCTTCTTTTCTCCCTCCCTGCCTCTCTCCCTCTCTCCAGGGGACCATAGGACATCATGGCCTGTGATTGAACCTGGGTTGATCGTGTGCAAGGCCAGCACTTCACCCTCTGTTCTACTGCTCTGGCCTCTGCTCCTGAATTTCCAACTCCAGAAGTTCAGTATACGTGCAGGGCCTGTGGACAGCTCCTCGGCTCGGGGCGTCTGTCCAGCCTCAGTGAGGACAGGAGCCAGATGCCCGCCTGCGTGTGCCCCATCTAGGTGGCCTTGTTATCTGGGACCTTCGGTCCTGCCACCGAGTGTGTATGTGATCTCCGGCCCGTGCTTTGTGGCACCCAGGAAAGATTCGAGGGTGCCATGGCCAGTGGTGTGGCCCTGTGAGCTCGTGGGTGAGCCTGCACCCAGCCCCACAGCAGTGACAGAGGAAGAGGAGGGTAGAAATGAAGAACGAAGAAATAAGGGGCTGGAGCGATAGCACAGCGGGTAGGGCGTTTGCCTTGCTTGTTGCCAACGTGGGTTCGATCCCTGGCATCCCACAGCATCCCTGAGCACCACCAGGAGTAATTCCTGAGTGCAGAGCCAGGAGTAACCCCTGAACATCGCTGGGGTCTGCCCCCAAACACACAAAACATAAATAAAAATAAATACTTAACAAAAACTTAAATAAAGAGGTTATAAGTTAAAAAGAGAAACAAAACAAAGTCAAAGAAACAGATGCTCCTTTCTGGGGAGGGGGTTGGGTGCCATGTCCTGTGATGCCCAGAGGCCATTGCTGGCTCTGTGCTCAGGAGTGACCCCTGGTGATGCTCTGGGGACCCCACATGGTGTTGGGAGCACTGACCAGCCCATGGCGAATGCCTTACCCTGGGGACTAGTCTGGGGCCCCAGAAGTGAATGTTTCTTATTTTAAGATGCTATTTTGTACCCAAGAACAGACTACGGATAAAGAAACTATGGCACATCTGCACAGTGGAATACTACTCAGCTGTGAGGAAAAATGAGGTCATGAAATTTGCCTATAATTGGGTGGACTTGGAGAGTAGCATGCTGAGTGCAATGAGTCAGAAAGAAAGGGGCAGACATATCCGTGGCCAAGGAAAGCAGGGTCTAGGAGGATCGGTCAGTGGCTGGAGTCAACCACAAGTGTGTGTGAGGGAGGGAGGGAGGTAAGGTAGAGAAGGGATCCGGATGGGAATGATCACACTGGATAAGAACTGAAGTGTTGAAAGTAGGTAGAGGGATAATCCTGATAAACTTTCAGTATCTGTATTGCAAACCACAATGCCCAAGGGGGCGGGGGGGGGGAAGAGAGAGAGAGAGAGAGACAGAGACAGAGACAGAGACAGAGACAGAGACAGAGACAGAGAGAGAGGAGAAAGATGCCTGCCATAGAGCAGACTGGTGAAGGCTTGATAGGAGGGAACCTGGGGACACTGGTGCTGGGAAACGTACACTGGTGGAGGGATGGGTGTTGGAACACTGTATGACTGAAACCTAACCAAGAAGAGCTTTTTATTTATTTATTATTATTATTATTATTATTATTATTGTTTTTGCTCTTTGGGTCACACCCGGCAATGCTCAGGGGTCACTCCTGGCTCTGCACTCAAGAGTTTCTCCTGGCGATGCTCAGGGAACCATATGGGATGCTGGGAATCGAACCCGGGTCGTCCGCGTGCAAGGCAAACGCCCTACCCGCTGTGCTATCACTCCAGCCCCAAGAAGAGCTTTTTAAAGATCTATCTTGCAGTGATTCAATAATAAAGTCTTTTAAAAAAAAAAAAACATTCGCGGCCGCGCGACATCTTATGACATCTTATTATCTCATTCCTACTTTGGACAAACTGGCAGGCTACCGAATGTAACCTGCGCACATGGCAGAATCTGGCAAACTCCCCATGGCGTACCCAATATGCCAAATACCAGTAACAATGATGGGTCTCATTTTCCTAAAGAGCCTTGAACATAGCACTTTCTTAAAAGTCTCAGGGTTAGGATGAAGGAGACGTTACTGGGGCCTGCTCGAGGCAATCGACGAATAACAGGGTGGTTGTGATTAGTGATTAAAAAAAAAGATGCTGTATTTACAACAATCTGACAGTCAAGAAGGGCAGAAGCTTATTTTGCTCATTGGAAAGTTGTTTTTTTTTTCCTTTTTGGGTCATACCCGGTGATGCTCAGGGCTCAAGGGTTCCTCCTGGCTCATGCACTCAGGAATTACTCCTGGCAGTGCTCGGGGGACCATATGGGTTGCTGGCAATTGAATCCGGATCGGGCCCCGTGCAAGGCAAACGCCCTACCCGCTGTGTTATCACTCCAGCCCCCAACACTGGAAAGTTCTTAACAATGATTTGAGCGGGTCTGGTGACCCCACGACTGCCCCTCCCTTCTCAAAACCTGGTGCCCTTTACCCTCACACTCTCTGTCTGTATGTCTCTGTCTCTGCGTCTCTGTCTCTGTGTCTCTGTCTCTGTCTCTCTCTCCCCCTCCTGTCTCTTCCTCCACCCCACCTCTCTCTCCTAGTCCGGCCTCCCCAGGGGAGGTGTGGTCCCTGGAGAGGTGTTTGCAGTGTGGTGTGTGGGCAGGGAGGGGATTCCCTGTGCCGGCACCCTTGAGACTCAGCTGCTGCCTCGAGCGTGGGGCCGGCCCGTGAGGCACTGAGTTGGCCATTTTGGCTGAGGTGACCTTTGCCCGAGTGTGAGGAGAGGCTGGAGCGAGGAGCAGACCTTATGGGGGGCTACGTGAGCATCTCTAGAGGAAGCTGGGGAGCACAGGCTTCCCACCCAGAGCCCTGCACCTGGAGATGCAGCACCCCCTGCGCTCTAGAAGCCTCCCTGCCTCCCGCCCTGCCTCCCTTCCATCCTCCTCCTGGACTTCCGGCCCTTCTTCCTCCCTGCTTCTCCTCAGAACTCTAAGCTTGGGGGGGTCACTCCTGGCAGTACTCAGGGAACCATTTGTTTGTTTATTTATTTATTTATTTTTGCTCTTTTGGGTCACACCCAGCAATGCTCAGGAATCTCTGCACTCAGGAATTACTCCTGGCGGTGCTTGGGGGACCATATGGGATACTGGAGATTGAAGCCAGATGGGCCGTGTGCATGGCAAATGCCCTCCCCACTGTACGAGCGCTCTGCCCCCACCATTTGATGCTCAAATGCAGGCCTCCTGCGTGCAAAGCATGCTCTCTCCAGCTCCTCCCCAGCCCCCTTTCATTTAGAATATTTTCCCTTTGGAGCTGGAGTGATAGTACAGCGGGCAGGACGCTGGCCTTGCATGCAGCTAACATAGGTTTGATCCTTGGCATCCCACACCGTCTCCCGAGCCAGCTAGCAGTCAGCCTTTTTTTTTTTCCTTTTTGAGTCACACTCGGCGATGCTCAGGGGTTACTCCTGGCTTTGCACTCAAAAATCAGTCCTGGAGGTGCTTGGGGGGACCATATGGGATGCTGGGAGTCGAACCCAGGTCGGCCGCGTGCAAGGCAAACGTCCTACCCGCTGTACTATCTTTGGCCCCCAGTCTTTGGTTGGGTTGGGTTGGGATGGGGGCGTCACACCCGTTGGTGCTCTGGGCTCGAGGCTCGCTCCTGGAGGTGCTCAGGAAAACAGGCGGTGGCGGGGATCGAACCCTGAACTCCCACACGCAGAGCCTGATGTGCTCAGCCAGCCCTAGGAGCCGTGGCCCCAGCTCCTGCTCTTTGCCCCCAACTCCTGTGGCCAGAGGGGGCCCCGGGTGCTTTGGTTTGCTTGCTGGGGGCCACGCCCGTGATGCTTAGGCTCACTCCTGGCTCTGCACTCAGGCATCGCGCCTGGCCGTGGGAGCCCAGATTCTACCCGCAAGTGAATGACTCTGTAACCCCAACTCCCGAGGTCCCAAACTTTAGCGCCCCCCCTTGCCCGGCCCCTGCACTCACTGTCAGGAGACCCCAGCCCTGCTCCTTTCCCCGCCCCCCCCCCAGCTTTGCTGGACTCTAACCTTCTTGCCTTTTCCTTTGGCTCGGCCCTTCGGGTTGCTGTTCTTGGTCACCACGGCAGCCGCCTCTTCCTGCTCATCCTTGTCCTCCCTCCGTCCTGCTTCTGAGCCTTTGGGGGTGCCTGGGCCGGGAGGGGGAGCTCAGCAGTTCAACCCAACCCTATGGGGGGCACTTTGGGGACCACGAAGTTCAGCCAACACCCATGGCCCCAGTTGTGAGGGGGTCACCCCAAGTTACCACCAGAGCCCCAGGAGAGCTTCAACGCCTGCCTGTCCCCACAGGGAAGGACTGTACCCACCTTTCTTCTTCAGAGCTTTCTCGGGGGCTGCCCCGTCTCCCCCAACCAGAAACATGGCAGCAGGCGGCGTCTTCCTCACTCTGGGGGAGCCCGCCGAGGGGGCCTCCTCCGTGTCCCCAGGCCCTGAGGTGCCAATGTGAAGGGGTCACCACCCGCCCCTCAGAGTCCCCTTCCCCTTTAGACCAGGCTCACCTTTCTTCTTTTGGGGGGGTGGTGTGGGAGGTTAGGGCCACACCCCGCGGCACTCGGGCTGACTCCTGGCTGCACTCAGGGGTGACTCCTGTGGGGGGGGGCTCAGGGGACCATCAGGGGTGCTGGGGATCGAACTGGGTTGAACGCAAGCAAGGCAAGTGCCTCACTGTCTCGCCAGCCCTCACCTTTCTTCTTTAGCTTCCTCAGCTTGGTCCCTTCCTCAGAGGGCTGCTCCTTCTTCCTCACACGAAGAGGTTTCCGTGGCGGGGCTGGGCTTCCCAGGTCCCCTGGAGATGGAGGGAGGAGAAGTCAGAGCCACCTCAGCGCCCAGAGTCCACCTTCTCGTTGTGTTATGCGCCCTGCGTCCCAGGAGGGCTGCACAAATACCAGGAAGTTGACATGAGCCGTTACCGCATGAATGAATGAATGAATGAATGAATGAACAAGCGGGTAAACCAATGCATGCCTCGGAATCACAGCTCCCATCCCCGCTCTGGCCAGTGCTTCCCCATGAGAGGGACGGCAGTTCCCAATAGGGGGGTGGGCAGTGGGGTGGGAGGCAGGGACCCCCCTCACCCGGGTGCTTGCTTGTTGTTTGACTTTTACTGCCCTTGGTTTGGTATGTGTATGACAACTCTAACAATTCATATTAAGTTTTTCTAAATTTCATTTCCGGGGGCACACCCAGCTGTGCTCAGGGTTACTTCTGGCTCTGCGCTCAAGAACTGCTCCTGACAGTGCTCAGGAGACCCTAAGGGGGTGCTGGGGATCAAACCAGGGGCAACCACACGTGCAAGACAAGGGCTGTCGTGTCTGTCCTATCTCCCCAGCTCAAACTGAGTTTTACACACACACACACACACACACACACACACACACACACACACACAGAGCTAAAAGATCACAATGGAAACTAAACTTCTCTACCCTCTGTGCCCGACCAAGGCAGGGTGGGCACAAGGTCACGTATTGATTTCTGTCCCCAAGGGCCATCTAGGAATCTAGGGCATAAAGCCTCAGGGCAGGCTCCAGCCCTGGGTATGGGGGTGCCAAGCTCTGGCTGGGCAGGGGGCTGGGTCTGCCTGTGGCTGACCCCTTGGGGCACCGACCCCTGTGTCTTTGAGGCTGTTTCTCCTTGGCATCCACAGGGACCCTCTCCTTAGGGGACTTCTGGGTCTGCACAGGGATTTTCTCTTTCTTTTCTTCCTCCTCCTCCTCCTCCTCGTCATCTTCATCATCATCCTCCTCATCCTCCTCTTCCTCCTTCTTCTTCTCTGTGGGTAGAAACTACTCATAGTGGGGTCTGGGGAGCTCCATCCCTTGGGATTGCTGGAAAAGAGCTAGGAGCCCCCCAGACAGGACAGGAGGGGGATGATCTTTGGCACCTTCCTCATGGGATGGGGTGGGGGGAACCTGTGTGTTTTTAGGGGGGTTGAAGGTCAAAAGAGGGGGTAGGAGCTGAGGGTGGGGGGAGTTCTGATGGCTGGGGGCTCAGTTCTGGGAACCCCCTTCCTGCAGGTTCCTTACTCTCTCTAGCACCCCCCCCCCACGCTTTCTGAGGCCTTAGACCCCCTGCCCCAGCCTTACCCCACACGGTACCTGCTCTGGGTACCCTCTGGGTCCTGACCTTGAAACTGACCTTGGGGTTGTGTGGAAGTGTGGGGGTGCTAGTTGCAACTGAAAGCAAATTCGTTTTATGGTTGGTGGGTGGGGGTGGGCCACACCCAGTGGTGCTCAGGGCTTACTCCTGGCTCTGTGCTCAGGGGTCACTCCTGGCAGTGCTCGGGGACCAGATGGGGTGCTGGGGATTGAACCTGGCTGACTCCTTGCAAGGCCAGCATCCTACCACTGTACTATTGCTCCAGCTGTGAAGGTAAATTCTTTTTTATTTTTATTTTTTGGAGAGGGGTGGGCACACCTGGCTTTGTCCAGGTATTACTCCTGGCTCTGCATTCCCCTGAGGGGACCCCACAGGACCCCAGGGATCAAACCCAGGTTTGCTGCATGCCAGGAAAGCCCCTATCCGTTGTGCTATCACTCCGGCCCCCCAAACTTAACTAGCTCATGGCTCCACCTGCCCAATCGGGGACCGAGACCCCAAATAAAGGGTTTTCAGCCACACGCAAGGCTGGAGGGGCCGAGGCTGTTCCCTGAGTTTCTGCCTCTTGCAGTGGGTTCAACCTCTTCTCTTCCTCTCCCGGCCCCTCCCCAGCCGTCACTCACTGTCCTTCATGTGGGGGGTGCAGGTCACCAGGAAACTCTCCCGGGGGTCGCGCTTCTTGGCCTCGGGGTCCCTGAGGAACTTGGCGTAGATGGTTGGTGGCTCCGTGGCCGGCTCCTCCCGAGGGGCCCGTCCCCTCCGCCCCGCTGAGCGAGACACGGGCTTCAGGCGGGGGTCCTGTCCCGCACAACCCCCCTCCCGGGGGTCACTCACTCTTTCACACTGGCTTCCAGCTCCACCCCCAAGCCCCCCCGCCCCCTGGCCCTGCCCTCCAGAGCCCCTCACCCAGGGCCTCGCCCCCCACACGCCCTAGACCTGCCTCCAGCTTTCCGGGGTTTGGATCTCAAGGGGCGGGGGGGACTCGGGGGTCTCTGGCTTTTTCTTCCTCAGCTTCTGTCCCCGGGCAGGTGGCTGCAAGTAGGGGATAAAGCAGGAACAGGAAGGAATGGGGCGCTCCACTGACTGCCCGCAGTTACCCCTAATCCCTTGAGCTGCCAGAAATAACGCAGTTTGGGCTGGAGCCATAGCACAGCAGGGAGGGTGTTTGCCTTGCCCACGGCTGACCCGGGTTCGAGTCCCAGCATCCCATATGGGCACAGCCAGGATTCATTTCTGAGTGCATAAACCAGGAGTAACCCCTGTGCATCGCAGGGTATGACTTCTCCCCAAAATAAACACCAGAAATAGCCCAGATCCTGAGGGGGAGCTTCTGAAGTCAGGAAGGAGGACCCCTTCCGTGCATCTGGCCGCTGTCAGTATCCCCAAAGCCCCCACTCCTCCCCTGGACACCCCTTGACATCAGGCATCTCTGCCCACTCCCCTGCATTGTCCAGGGAAGGGAAGTGACCACCACCAGCTGCTGGGGGGGGTCCCTCTGCTCCCTCCCACCTTCTCTTGTTTTGGCGGGGGCCGCACCTGAAGGTGCTCGGGGCTGACTGCTGCTGACAGTGCTTAGGGGTCACTCCTGGGTGCTGGGGATTGAGTTTGGGTGGGCTGCGTGCGAGGCAGGCACTGTCCCTGCCGTGCCAGGGCTCTGGGCCCCCCACCTTCCTTCTAAGTGGGGTGACATGACATACCTGTTGGACGTGTCGCTGGGTCTCAGGGGCGCTCGGTCCTTCCTCCTCATGACCGCTGAGGGAGCAGAGGGAATAGCCATCTCCGACCCGCCTGTCCCTGTCCCACCCAGGCCCTCCCTCAGGCCCCCAGGGGTCAGGGAAGGCAAAGGGGAGATGGGGGGGTCCCGACCTGTCCGACGCCCACACTTCTAGCAGAGTGTCTTCCTGCAGAGGCATGGCAGTCCTCACCCCTCCTCTGTCCGTCTGTTGCTCCCGGAACCGCCTCGCCCCTCCCCCTGGGTAATCGGCTCATCCCTGCCTGTGAGAGTGAGCTGATGGGGGGACTCCTGGCCACCACTGCCCCCTCAGAGTCCTTAAGCACAGGCTGAACTCTGCCCAGTTCCTCCTAGCCCCTGTCCCCCCAGAAAGCAAAGGATGTTATTCCCATCCCAGGGCACCTCCCTGCCCCCCCCCCCCAGCTCTCGCCCCTTCTCGGTCACTGGGCTAGAGGTAAATTAGAGGTACTGATATGTGGGTCGGGGAGATAGTACAAGGCCCTGACCTTGCATGCGGCCAGTTTGAAATTCCAGCATGGCATAAGGTCCTCCAAGTGGAGGCAGGAGTATCCCTGAGTGCAGGGCAGGAGTATGTCCTGAGCATTGCTGGGAGGCAAGAAAGGAAGGAAGGAAGGAAGGAAGGAAGGAAGGAAGGAAGGAAGGAAGGAAGGAAGGAAGGAGGAGAGGGGAGGAGAGGGGAGGGGAGGGGGAGGAGAAGAGGGGAGAGAAGAGGGAGAGGAGAGATGGTGGAAGGAAGGAAAGAAGAAAGAAATGAAGGAAGAAAGGAGGAAAGGAAGGAGGGATGGAGGGAGGTAGAAGAAGGAAAGAAGGAAGGAAGGAAGGAAGGAAGGAAGGAAGATTCAATTAAAAAATTTTAGGGGCTGGAGCAATAGCACAGCAGGTAGGGCGTTTGCCTTGCACGCGGCTGACCTGGGTTCGATTCCCAGCATCCCATACGGTCCCCCGAGCACCGCCAGGAGTGATTTCTGAGTGCAAAGCCAGGAGTAACCCCTGTGCATCGCCGTGTGTGACCCAAAAAGAAAAAAAAATTAAAAAAGAAAAAAATGCACAAAGTTGTAACAAAGATCCAAAGGCAACATAATGGGGAACTGATGACCCATCTGAGTTGGAGGTGATTGATAGGGGTTTGAAGGGGTCCTTGGGGGAAGGGTGGGTACACTGGTGAATGGGTGTGGTGTGAAAATTATGGGCATGAGAAACCATTATCAATAGTATTGTAAACCACAGATTCTCGGGCAATAAAAAATATTTTAATGTTATTGGAAAGGAAGAAAGAAAGAAAGAAAGACAAGAAAGAGAGAGAAAGAGGAAGGGAAGAAAGAAGGAAGGGAGGAAGAGAAGGAGGTAGAAAGATAGGAAGGGAAGGAGGGAAGGAAGGAAGGAAGGAAGGAAGGAAGGAAGGAAGGGAGGGAGGGAGGGAGGGAGGGAGGGAGGAGAAAAACTGAGCAAGCCCTGAGAATGGTCCCTAATTACTGGTCCTCAGTTTCCCGAAGCTCCTGCTGGAGTGTCCTTGGGCGTGAGTGCTGCAGCCTGAGGCCCGCCCTGCCCCAGCCTCTGTAAGCTGGTCCTGCCGGAGGCCCTGGCCTGGAGCTGGTGCAGATTAGCTGGGCCCAGTGAAGAGAGGCAGCTGCCTCTGTGACAGGGGATTAGTGACCCTTTCAGGGCCCTTCCTATCGCCTGGGGTGTCCTGATATGCCCCAGCTTGGCGAGGCTGGGGTTCCTGTGGGTGTCCCTGAATCGCAGTGTGGCTGGTCAGACTCCTGGTAGGCTGTTGCCACTAACTCTTGATGGCTTTTTCTTTCTTTGGGCTGGGACTTCACACAGGACAGCACACATGCAAGGCATGTGCTCTTAGCCCTTCGCAGGTGTCATGCAGTCACAAGGATTAGAGGGGAGAGTTTGAATGCAAGGTCAGAGTTTTTATTTTTCTTCACAGTTTACTTGGTCCATTGATCAAAAATGGAATAGTCTTCCTTCCTTCCTTCCTTCCTTCCTTCCTTCCTTCCTTCCTTCCTTCCTTCCGTCCTCTTTCTTTCTTCCTTTCTCTTTTCCTTCCTTCCTTCCCTCCCTCCTTCCTTCCTTCCTTCCTTCCTTCCTTCCTTCCTTCCTTCCTTCCTCTTTCTTTCTTCCTTTCTCTTTTCCTTCTTTCCTGCTTTCTTTCTTTCCATCCTTTCCTCTCTCCCTCCCTTCCTCCCTCTCTCCCTCCCTCCCTCTCTCCCTCCCTCCCTCCCTCCCTCCCTCCCATCCTTCCTTCCTTCCTTCCTTCCTTCCTTCCTTCCTTCCTTCCTTCCATTCTTCCTTTCTTTCTCTTTTCTCTTTCTTTCTTTCTTTCTTTCTTTCTTTCCATTCTTTCCTCCCTCCTTCCCTCCCTTTCTCCCTCCCTCCCTGTCTCCCTCCCTCCTTCCTTCTTTCCTTCCTTTCTTCCTTCCTTGCTTTCCTCCTTCCTTCCTTCTCTCCTCTCCTTCTCTCCTTCTTTCTTTCTTTCTTTCTTTCTTTCTTTCTTTCTTTCTTTCTTTCTTTCTTTCTTTCTTTCTTTCTTTCTTCCTGGCTCTTCAGTCAGGGTTCACTTCTGACTGGATATCATATGGGGTGCTAGGAATCAGATCCGAGTCATCAGCGTACAAAGCAAGCACCCTTGTTGTATTATGTCTCCAGCCTCCTTTACATTTAGTATAAGATCCACCCATCTTTATCTGTAAAGAATTCAGACAATTTGAAAGGAAGATGAAGGTGAAACTCACCTAGGGTAGCATTCTGAAGGAGTCAGTGTGAGAATTTTGCTCTGTAATATTGCAAGCCCCTTCCCCAGTTCGTATGCTGTGTACTTGTGAGTGGGTAGATGTGTACACATAGGTTACACATACAATCAGTCTACTTATTACTAGAACCCCAGTATTAAAGGTGAAGAAACGGTGTCTGAGCAAGTACTGTGGGTTGGCAGCCGGCTCGGGAATGCGCGCTGTTCTGCATATAGGGGCGCACTCCCGCCCCCGCAAACGTGTGGGAGAGGCAAAGTCAAGGCGTAAATACACAGTGAGCTCATCATCGTCATTAATTGCGATAAACGCCACGGTGATACATAATTAATTGTATATAGATTAATAATTAGCCGACAAACAATTCATTGTAGTGCGTGCCAATGTCGCAAACCATTCCACTGAACCGGATGGCGAGTGCCAAGGAGGTAGAGAAGGGAGCAGCTGGGTTTCTGTTTGGACCGCCAGGGCAGGTGAGACCGCGGAGGGGAATTTTGTTTATTTATTTATACTTGAGATTTGAGCCACACCCGACTCTGATTGGGGCTTGTTCCTGGCTCTGTGCTCAGGGATCAGTCCTGGCGGGCTCTGGGGACCTTATGGGGGGACCGTATTGGGGTCCTGGAAATTGAACTTGGGTTGGTCACATTCAAGGCAAGTGCCCTCCGTGCTGTACTATGGCTCCAGCCGCAGTCAAGAATTTTTCTTTTTTTTTTTTTTCTTCGGCTTTCTGGGTTGGACATGGCGATGCTCAGGGGTCACTCCTGGCTCTGCACTCAGGAATTACTCCTGGCGGTGCTTGAGAAACATGTGGGATGGCGGGGATCGAACCCAGGTCGACTGCGTGCAAGGCAAACACCTTACCCACTGTACTATTGCTCAGCCCCCATCTAGAGAAGAATTTTATGTGCAGTGGAAAGACCCAGTTTCCTGGTCCAGCGCCAGAGTGGTTTTGACTAAAAGTCGCACTCTGGAGGGCTTGTGACCCTCTAAAAACCCAAGTGACCACCAAGAGCCAGTGGACTCCAGACACCGTGCAGAATGTAAACCTGGCATGCGCCCTCAGACTGCCCAGCCCTGGGCGACACTTCTCATGGCTCTGCTCTATTGTCCAGTCCATGATGTCTTCCGCTCTGCGCTGCTGGGGCACTTGAGGCTGTGTGGTCAGCATCACGGATGGACACTGCCTCACAGTGTGGAGGACTTGAGCTCAGACCCTCAAGAGAATAAGGGCAGATGACTTCATCCCTCAGAGCTTCCCTCTACCCTGACCCTGGAAGGGGCAGATACGTACCCATGCGTGCTTGGTCCTGGGGGCTTGGTGGGTAGTGGGGGCGACTTTTCAGGATAAGAAGGTTCTCTAGGTCCTCTTTTTTTTTTCTTTTTGGGTCACATCCGGCGATGCACAGGGGTTACTCCTGGCTCTGCACTCAGGAATTACTCCTGGCGGTGCTCGGGGGACCATATGGGATGCTGGGAATCAAATCTGGGTCAGCCACATGCGAGGCAAACGCCCTACCCACTGTGCTATTGCTCCAGCCCTCTCTAGGTCCTCTTGAGAGAGACTTTTGTAGTAGTTGCTCCTGGCAACGAAGGAGCATTCTGCCATATGAAGCAATTCCTACTGCAGTTGAACTTGTGTGCATACACGAAGCTTGTGGCAGTTCTTTATAGTTAATGGGACCTCAGAATCAACCTTTTTTTTTTTTTTTTAAACTTTTTCGGTCTTACCTGGTGATGCTCAGGGGACTCCTGCCTCTGTACTCAGGAATTACTCCTGGAGGTGCTGAGGGAAACATATGGGATGATAGGGAATGAACCTGGGTCGGCCACATGCAAGGCAAACACCCTAATCACTGTGCTATAGCTTTTGCTCCCATGGATACAACCTTGGGAACCTTTTGCTTGCAGAAAAATATTTAAGGGGCGGAGAGAAATTCCCCAAAGACTGGAGCACATGGTTGCATGCGGCAACTTTGGGATCGACCCTAGCACCACACAGTCCCTGGAGCACTGTGGGGAGGAGCCCAGGCATGGAGCTGGGAGCAACATCTGAGCCAGGCCTGGGCCTCCTCCTCTAAACTCAAATAAAATAATCTGATAACATGGAATTAAAATTTCAAAACCATTTAAATTTGATTCTGATATTATGCATGTTGATCTTTATCCATTTAAATTCTGTTTATTTTTGGTTTAGGGCCACACCTGGCTACGCTCAGGCCTTAACCTGGCTCTGTGCTCAGGGATCACTGCTGGCCAGCTTGAGGAACCATCAGAGGTGCCAGAGACCCAACCTGGGTTGACCGCATGCAAGGCAAGCACCGTACCCCCTGCACTATCATCCTGGTTCCTGAAAAATAATTCTATTTTTATTTTTTTATTTTTTATTTATTTTGTTTATTTA